AAAAGTTACCCAAATAAGATGGGTTTAGGTAGGATTTCAAAGAAAGTTAATATCATTTTTATCAAATCATTCATTATCTCTTAGACATAATTCATATATTCATATTGATTTGTTAAATTTTATTTGACAATGTCCATTAATGGATATGATTTATTAATATGAAAGCATTAAATATGATTTCAATCTAAATTTCATAGGATTTTGAACTTCTGAAATAGATGTCTTATATAATTTTGAGAATTTCTATATATATTTGATAAGATAGATTTCAAGTAATATCAATATGAGATTTTACAAGTAATAATTGAATTTAATGAAGAATATCATTGTTTAGGATTACTTTAAGGGTAAATATTTGAAAAATTAAGAAATTAGTTAGCTGAAATTTAAAATATACTTTTTTAGTAAGTAAACATAAGACTAAATAATTAATAAAAAATTATACTATAATCTGAATTTGAAAATTATTATAAATTGATAATTATTAATCTATCTATTGATTTTATTAACTAATACAATCTAAAATTAATATGAATGATTATATTAATTATGATTATCTTGATACTCTAGATAAAGATGTGCAATGATAATAAAAATTTAATGATATTTATTATATTTGTGGATGAATATCAAACTTTGATGTTTGAGAAATCTACACTTTTAACAAGGGCTAAAGCTTGTTCACTAACTCCTAATTCTCTGGTGAATTCATTCTTAGTGTTAGTATAGATATCAGTTTCTTCAGCATAGGTATTATTCTCTAATTCTAATTCAGCAGTGTATTATTTTTAATCAGCAGCTCTTTAATCTCTGAATTCAGTCATTTAATCAATTTTCTCTATAGAAAATAAATTTAATGTTTTTACCATTAGTGGCAGTCAAATCAACGGTTGCTCTATCAATTTATCTTTAGAATTCACTGTATTCATCATCTAATTATTCAAGATATGCCTCATGATCAACAACATCTTAGGCTTCTTAAGCTGTTAAATCATTGATTTAATCTACTACTGCATTTCTAAATTCATTAAGAGCATCAACAATATTCTTCAATACATCTTAGTTTGAGAAATTTTGATTTGAAGCTAAATTAATCAAAGCTTTGATCATTGGTGCCATTCTTGATCTTGATCTAATCTTGTTTTCAATATTTTTGAGTGTATTTTAGAATCTTCTGATTTATAATAATGATGGATTTGTAAGTGAAGCAAGAAGAGCTAAAGCATCATCAACTGAAGCAGTAGCATCATTTAATTCAGCAACTTATGCTTCAAATGCTTCATGTTCTTATTCTCTAACTAAAATTGCTTCATCATAATTCTTTCTATTTTCTTCTTGATATCCAACAACTGAATCAATCTTGCTTTAGATTTAAGCTCTTCTTGGATAGAGAAGATTGTCTAAAGTATCTTATGTATTATTGACATCTAAATTATTATAAATTATTAATTACCAATTACAGCATCTTGAATGTCTTATTCTAAACTGGTTACTAAGGCATTATGTTCATTAGTTCTCACTTTGAAATTGAATTCTAATTCTTCTAATTCTTCTTCTAAATCATTGATAAGTTCTTCAATAGCATCAATCAATTCCTAAACTGGTCCTCCAGCCATAGAGTGTAATTCAACCAAATGAAGTAAGGCTTTTCCATATGTGCTTTTAGCTAAATCAGCTTAAACTTTGGCCATATTTCTCTCTTAGACTCTGGCTGTAAAGGCTACAGCAATGAGGGCAATCAGAATAATTGATTTCATTTATTTAATTATTAATCATATAAAAACGAATTATTTGAATTATCAACCAAAAATTAATCAAAGTCATTAGCTTTTTATATAGTTTTGAAATTATTGAAATTTTAGAGACTTCCTAAATAAACAAAATTTGTTATCCATAAATTTAAATAGGAATTTATTATTTTATATTTTACTTCTTTTCTTTAATAATCTAATATTTATGATTTTAATATAATTGCCATTTTACTTTAATATCTAAAGATATTTTCAAAATTAATATTATAATAGATATAACAATAAATTAGAAATCGATCTTACTATGCACATAAACCTGAGAATACCAAAAAATGGTTTATTTATGATTATAAATATCAAGTAAACTCTTTTTGTTTTCATAAGATGAATTCTAAAGCCAATTATATCTAATGACTATGTTTGGATTTAGAATTGAAAAGATTTCTCATCTCTTACAATGAATTAAGTAATTTCTTTTAATCACTTTTAAGCAAATGTTTATGATCAATAACTTACCATTCACTTACATCAGTCTCTTCCTCTATTGTTTATATCATATAATCTGAATCAGAATTTTGACTAATCACTCTCTCTACTTAATTTTCATCTATTAAAAAAGTGATCTCTTCATCAACTGAATACATAAGAACCTTCTTTTCAGGTATTCTTATTTAATCTGAATTAAATCTCACTAATCTATTATTCTATTTTGGGATCATAGTCTATTCCTAAAATGATAAAGATCTTGGTTTTCCTACTTCTTCAATCAAATTCAAATATTAATGGAAACGAGCAATTATTGATATATTTTCCTTTATATTTAAATGATAGCATTTATATAATTCTAAATTCTAGTTTTTACTATTATGATCAATAACTATTTAAAGTAAATAGTTTTAATAACACTCTTATTTGTTCAAGAAATTTTAATACAATGAGCTCTTAGTGAACATACAGCAAAGTGATTTTTTTTCAAATATGCATTGTTTGCCGCATTGCATATTTCTGTTATTTTGACTTTTAAATGATAATATCCATTATTCTGCTAAAATCTTTCTATGACTGATGTTATGTTCTAAGTAAATAGATATACTCAAACTAACTTCATCAGACTTTGAGTTTAGTGTATAATTAAAAATATGCTCATTTTTAGCATCTTAATTTAAGCATACTCTTTTATTTAGTATGATTTACATGTATTCATTAAGAATAAATCTATGGTTTTGCATTTTTTAAATGAGTTAGTCCTTTTTTTAAATTGTTATAATTTATAAATTAGACTTTCTTTTCAGAACCCATTTTTACTTAACTCATCAGTATTTTTCTGATTAATTTTGAGCAACATAAGACATAAATAAATTATAATGAAAGAACAATACTTTTTATGGTTATCTTAGCTATCAATATCTGTCTGAGTCATGAACTTTAAATTTTATATACTATACTATGTAATTATAATAAATAAAATAAATAAAATTAATATGTAATATGAATTAAAAATAATCAATAATTATAGGTATTATAATTAATTATATGTATAATTTATTAGATATCATGAAGGTTAACTATATTTAACATTCTCTTTAAATTCAAACATATATGATATTTTAGAAAAATAAATTATTAATTCAAATTTTGAATTACCAATTATTCAAATAACCAGAGTTTAAAATTATACTATATTAAATACAACTTTTTTGGATTTTTTTATGATATTTGAAAGATATAATATATAATAACAACTTATATTTATTTTCTAAAGTGATATAATAAGTAAATTTGCAATTTTTTTAAAATAAATAAACAAAAATTTAATTGTTTACTTAATCAATCTTTTGATTTCTTATTGGCATTTTGATTATTAAGTCTGATTATCAAAGAATTATTAATGATTTAAAAATCAAATCATATATAAAACTAATATTAAAAGAATATTTATATATAATAACTGTTGAAAGGCTTATTAAATTAATCTAAATATCTCATTTCTAATCACTTCGCTTCCAATACTTATATATCAAATATGCTCCTATTGCAAACCCAACTAAACCACCAACAACTTTTGGGTTAGATGCTTAGGTTATCAAAAATTATTTAACAATTGGAATTTTATCACAAACACTTTCATATAGAATGCCAGCTCCAGTTTTAATTTGTTTTATAACAGAATAATTATTTACTGCTGTTACAACTTTACTATTACCATATTTTTCTTCTGATTCTATCGAGGTACATATTTAATCTGAGTCTGGTTTATTTGATGAAGAAACTGAACATAATTTACTAAAATATTCACAACCCGAAATATATGCTGGTTCTCTATCGCTAATGTATGCTGCTGTTAATTATACAACAGGCTTAAGATATTCAGTTTTAATTTGTTATATAACAGAACTATTACAGATTTTTTCGAATAAGCCAGAAAGTNTTTAAGCATACTCTTTTATTTAGTATGATTTACATGTATTCATTAAGAATAAATCTATGGTTTTGCATTTTTTAAATGAGTTAGTCCTTTTTTTAAATTGTTATAATTTATAAATTAGACTTTCTTTTCAGAACCCATTTTTACTTAACTCATCAGTATTTTTCTGATTAATTTTGAGCAACATAAGACATAAATAAATTATAATGAAAGAACAATACTTTTTATGGTTATCTTAGCTATCAATATCTGTCTGAGTCATGAACTTTAAATTTTATATACTATACTATGTAATTATAATAAATAAAATAAATAAAATTAATATGTAATATGAATTAAAAATAATCAATAATTATAGGTATTATAATTAATTATATGTATAATTTATTAGATATCATGAAGGTTAACTATATTTAACATTCTCTTTAAATTCAAACATATATGATATTTTAGAAAAATAAATTATTAATTCAAATTTTGAATTACCAATTATTCAAATAACCAGAGTTTAAAATTATACTATATTAAATACAACTTTTTTGGATTTTTTTATGATATTTGAAAGATATAATATATAATAACAACTTATATTTATTTTCTAAAGTGATATAATAAGTAAATTTGCAATTTTTTTAAAATAAATAAACAAAAATTTAATTGTTTACTTAATCAATCTTTTGATTTCTTATTGGCATTTTGATTATTAAGTCTGATTATCAAAGAATTATTAATGATTTAAAAATCAAATCATATATAAAACTAATATTAAAAGAATATTTATATATAATAACTGTTGAAAGGCTTATTAAATTAATCTAAATATCTCATTTCTAATCACTTCGCTTCCAATACTTATATATCAAATATGCTCCTATTGCAAACCCAACTAAACCACCAACAACTTTTGGGTTAGATGCTTAGGTTATCAAAAATTATTTAACAATTGGAATTTTATCACAAACACTTTCATATAGAATGCCAGCTCCAGTTTTAATTTGTTTTATAACAGAATAATTATTTACTGCTGTTACAACTTTACTATTACCATATTTTTCTTCTGATTCTATCGAGGTACATATTTAATCTGAGTCTGGTTTATTTGATGAAGAAACTGAACATAATTTACTAAAATATTCACAACCCGAAATATATGCTGGTTCTCTATCGCTAATGTATGCTGCTGTTAATTATACAACAGGCTTAAGATATTCAGTTTTAATTTGTTATATAACAGAACTATTACAGATTTTTTCGAATAAGCCAGAAAGTAATGGTTAAGTTTCTTTTGATTCTATCTAGGTACATATTTAATCTGAGTCTGGTTTATTTGATGAAGAAACTGAGCATAAATCAGTAGCATATGCACAATCCGAAATACATGCTGGTTCTCCACCGCTAATGCATGCTGATGTAGATTATACAGCAGGCTTATGATATTATTAAAAATAATCCTGTAAAGTTGCAATTAAATTTGATAAACTAGTTATTGGATTAGGCATATATCCATATTCAATAAAAGCTCCTCCAATAACTCCAGTAATGGTACAACCTCCTAAAAATAATGTTTCCTTGGTTCCAATTTTTATAATTTATAATTCTTTGCAAAGATCTGAGATGAAATCACAAAGATCTCTCAATAATGGCACGCCTATCAAAGAAAAAAATAGTAAATGTAATGATTTAACGCATTTTTTAAAAATACTTTCATCAGATTAACTCCAAATAAAATATAAACCAAAAGTTATCGTCGGTACACTTAGGAGTACACTTAGGTGTTGAATTTAATTTGTTAATACATTCAATATTTAGGCAATTGCAATAATTACGCAATTACCAAATATTTACTTTGGAGTTTAATTTTTTGAAGTTCTAATTAATTCATATAATATTTCATTGTGTAAAGTTGGATTTTTCAATTTTTATATCAATGCTTCTTTTATTTTTTACTACGTAACAGCCTAATAAGCGTTTTAAATAAAAGTTCTAGCCATAACAATTAAATTTTTTTATTCTATTCTTTCTAATACATGTGTATTTACATCCTTAAGATTTTGATTTAACAAATCTATAACACGATTTACATAATGAATACAACTATTACTAACTACAGAATATTCTTATGGATTCTAGTCTTATAGTTCTTTCACAGTAAACTATTTTACCAATTAAGATGAATCATAGGATTGATTAACTGTATAATATTCTTTTTGTCTTTGTTCATCTGTAATTTCTGTACTAATGAATCCATCTTTTAATTAATGTAATATAAATTATTCATTTTCTTTTGTATTCAAAATTATAGCATAATGATGAAAAAAAACTTGGCCAAACCATTCCTTGAACTTATTAATAAGAGGATTTCCATTTTATTTAATCTCTAAACTTTCTCCAGATGCTAATGGTCTTTAAACAATTTCAATTTTTTTTACAATTTGAGAAAGTTATTATTAATTGAGATAGTTTTATTATTTGAGCTAGTTTTACTATTTGAGCGTACTTGATTAACTGATCTTTGTTAACATTTAAATAAAATTAAGTTTAATAGAATTATATAATTAATAAATTTCTATTATATTTTTTAATTTAAAAGTGTGGTAATTCTATTAAAAATTAAAGTATTCTAAGTATTTTAATCAATAATAAAATATATATAGCATTACATATAATAAAAATCATAGAATTAATGATTAAAAGTTTTATAATTAATTTGGAATAATAGAAATAATGGAAAATAATTACAATATAAATTTTGATAACAGAAAATTAACTAATTTAAATGATACTTTAAATTAGTTTATTTCTCTAATTTTGCTCATCTTTACTATAAAAAAGTAAAAATAGTAAATCTATATGGAAGAAATGAATGAGTCTACAAAAATAATCAAAAGTGTTTGATTTTTTTGAATTTGAACAATATTAATCCTACAATGAACTCCTAACTTTATAAGTATGTCTATTACTATCAAATTAGACAATATAAATTTCATCAAATTATTTAATAAATTTTTATATATGGTAAATCATTATAATATATCTATATATCATTACAATAATAGATGAATAATTATCAATGATGATAATAAGATCTCATAGCTTGTATCATCTGTATCGTCTTCATTTGGACATACTGTACATTTATTATCTAACCAATAAAATCCACCATCTGTTAATAGTGAACATTAATTTTATGTTAATTCTGTTATATCTGATCTCTCTTCACACTTTTATGTAGTTGTATTCCATTTACAAAGTGTTTTGGCACCAAAATATCCATCATTTGCTAGAATACAAGTATTAACAGTTAAATTGGATCCACAAGTATAAGCCTTGCATTCTGTACCTGAAGCATCACATCCTAAATTGGAACAAATTTCAAGAGGAATTCCAGAACAAGTATTTGGATCATAACTCTAACATTTTCCTTATTAATTAAGCCAACAAAATGAATTCTCATTTTCAAAACTATTTTTACAATTCTCTGAAGTTTATGAAGCACAAGTAACTGCAGTATATGATCTACATTTATAAACACCATTAGTTTAGATAGCTTCAGCTGCACAATTACCTCTTTTAAACATACAATCTATTTAAGTTGTAGCTGTGTATTTTGAACAATCTCCAGTAGATTCACATTATCCATCTTGATTAATAGAACATCTGAAAAAGGTTTCACATCTTTCAAGAATAATATTAGCACAATTCTTTAAGCCACAAGCTCCATTACTCCAAGAACAATAAGGTACATTTTCACATTCAGTTTAATTGCTAAACAATACACAATCACATCTATTTTTAGTTGAAAGAGTCTGATAAGCACTTAAGAATATTAAGCAAAGTATTATTGTTTTTGACATTTAAAATAATAATGAATATCATTAAATAAGTTCAAGGCTTTAATAAACAATAGATTATGGCATATTATATTACAGAATGATGATATAAATTCAAATAAATAAATCTCAAAATTTAAAAATTAATCAATTAAATATAATAATATATGTTTTTATGTTTATTTCATTTAATATTTATAATCAAAAATTTCTATATTACTTTTATTATCAACGCATTAAATGAATAGATAATTTAATATTATAAATTAATAATTATATGATAAACCTTTTATTTTCTAAATTTATAATAATTAATATAAATAAAATGTAATATAATTCATAATAACTAATTCGAAATCAAACTCCTGAGGACTTAATTTATTCATAATTAAATTCAAAAAGAGAAAATGTATCCACAAATTCTTAGATGTAAACTTAAATAAAAGTAAACGATATTTAATAATAATGAGCATTCAATTGAATTACTAAAAAAAAATTTAATAAATCGTTAAATTTCAAATCATTATTCTAATTCTAATTAAGATTAATTAGTTTACTAATTATTTTAACTTCAATAAAAAGTAAGAAATTCTGAAAAATTATTTATTAAAAAAGAGTTGTATTTATAAGAGTAGATATTAAATGCATAAAAAAATTTTGAAAAAACAATGAATTTAATGAAATTCAAATATTAGATGTAAATAGAAGATTTAAATTCTGAATTAAAAGTCAAAGATGAAGAAATCTACAGTCTTAATTTATAATTATAATAAAATAATCTAAAAAAAATAGGCAATAGATTGTTTTCATCATAATAATAATAGAAAAAATAATCAATTAATGAATAACAAAATTCTGATAGTTCTAGAAAATACTGTCAATTTAAAATGCCCACTAGATCCTAAAATTCAAGTAGAAATAATGATTCAAACATATATTAGAAATAATTAAGAAGGATTAGAATTTAAACATCAGAATTTGCTTAAAAAGTAGAAAATGAAAAAAATTTAATTCAATCTGATATTGCAATATTAAAAGATTAGAAAAAAATTATTCAAGGTTATTTGAAATTAAATAAAGTTTAACATAGTGATAGATCATAATATAATTCTCCTATAAAATCTAATAATAATGAGATAAATAAATAGAGCAGCTCTTCCTTTGGAGTCAAGGAATACTTCTCTTAAAAATAATGATATTTAATTAAATCTTTTGTATTTGTATATATTCAATAGCAATAAATTATTCAAATCAATATTTTGTGAGTAGTTCCTCCATATATAAAATTTAATCAAAGAGTTACCAATAGCCAATATTTTCTTCTCCCAATAACTAAATAAGTTGTTTTCTTAAGTCTTAAGTAGAGAGTTCTTAAAATGATACTTTTATAATATTTACATTTAGTCTTCATTAATTGTAAAGCCTTTTCTACAAGATTATTACCTAATCCACCTTCGCATCTATGTCTTAATAATTTGATTCTATCCTATATTCTAGCCACTATAGAATTAATCGGTTTTGTTTCATCTTGATCCACTTCATCATAGTCTCCTTATTCATCATCCTCCAAATCTTCATTCTCCAATTCTTCTTCAACTAATGGAATGACTTATCCAGCTACAATTATAGAATGTTCTTACTTTCTAATGCTTTGATTTACATATTTTATACTTATCTATTTTATTATAGAGATTAACTAATTTCTTATATTTTTAAAGTTTTATCTTTAAGTTTAGTTTTCATTAAATCAAGTCTTTATTCAACATCCCCTTCTTCTTCATATTCTTCTTCATTTTCAATCTCTTGAATAGCCATAACTCCATCACTATCTTCAGAATCATCATATTCTTCCTAAACTTTTAATGAACTATCCTTCGATTAACGATATTAAGCCTATTTACGTTCTTAAGCTAATTTTCTATTTTAATAACTTTCTTTATAAATTTATTATCTTTCCTTTTCTTCTTGTATAGTTTTTTCTTCATCTCTTTTTTATTTCTTTTAAATCACTCTTTCCTTAGCACTTATAGTACTATCATCTCTTAATCTATCTTTTTCAAGGGATAAACTTCTTTCTTTTTATTTTTATCTAATTTCATTAGGTCTTTTATCTCTTTCCAATGATACCTTTCTTTAATTAACTCTATGATAATCTGGTCTTTATTGAGTTTCTGTTTTTTAAGTATTTTCTGATTTATTTGTTATATTTTCTGTTGTATTTTTAGAATTTGAATTAGTTTCAGTATATTTAGTATTTTGTATAGGTACTTTTTATTATTTCTTTTATTCTAATCTTTTAATTTCTTCTTCTAATTTCTTTTTTTCTATTTATTCTTTTTTTAATTATTTTAATTTTAATGCTTCTTATTCTTATATTTAAATTAACATTCTTTATTCTGCTCTTCCTCCTTTTTCTAATTCATTTTTTATATCTGCTATTGTTGCACCTTATGCAATTTATTTTTGATAATGTTAAATAAGTGGTAAGACTCCAATCTATTCAGCCTATTCATATAATGTATCCACATACATATCATCTAAATCAGCTGATTATGGTTCTAAGAACATTGATTATAAAAAATACCACAAAAGACTTCAAGCATGTAATAAATAATCCTTAATTTAATAATTGGTTTATGAACTATCTCCTATATAGTAGGTCTAGCTTTAGGATTAGTATTAAGCATCTTATTAATGATATCTCTTAATGCCTTAGAATAGGTTGGACTAATAGATGAATAGGAACCTTTTAAAATTTTCAATGCCAATCCATTCATTGATTATGCATCAAAAGCATGTCTCAGATTACACATTTCATATAGACAACATCCAAGTGCCCATACATCACTCTTATATGAATATGGTTTATATTTAAATAACTCTGGACTCATATAATATGGAGTTCCTATGCAAGTGTTAGCCAAATCACGAGTTGAATCAAGTACTTTTGCAATTCCAAAATCACCTAATCTAACTCTGCCATTTTTTAGAAATATATTTTATGTCTTTAAATCTCTATGTAAAATCTTTTGTTCATGTAAATAACACAAAGCTAATGTCATTTATGCAAACCAATCCAAAATTTGAGATTCAGGAAAACTTTTTTTGTTTCGAATCTTTTAATAAATATCTCCACCTTCACAATGAATCATTACAATATTTAAGTATTATTCTCTATCTAAATATGAATCCTTATAGGCTACAATATTAGGATGCCTCAATTTCTATAATAACCTGACTTCATTTTCTGTATTTTCACGATCCTTCTAATTCATGTCTCTAATTTTAATACGCTTAATGACATAAAGACGATCTTCTCTTTTATTCCTGGCTAGGTATACTTAACCAAATGAACCAGAGCCAATAGATTTGACTATTTCATAAAATTCCATTATTTTAAATATTCATAATAATATGGTTAATTAATATGAATTATTTTAAATTACAATTATATTAAAAATAATAGATTTACTAAATAATCTTTCAATGACAGTTACACAAATTTAAATTATTAAAGAAGTGCTATTATTTTTAAACACCATAGATATTTAATAAAATTATAATAATTAGTTATTAAATTATATAATTTGACTTTTACTATTTTACAATAATAGAACTCCAATTAATTATAATGTTTTATGATAATCAAATATATTATTTAAAATTAGTAAACTAATTATTTAAAATAACTACTCTTTCTTTATTTAAAATATAGAAATATAAAGAAAAAAAATTATAAATTTAAATATTAATTGATCATTTTAAGAATGAATAATAAATTGTTGATATTATTGTAATTGTCGCTAAGAGTAGAATAGAAAAGTTTATAATACAATTTAAATTACAATTTTGTTCATTTTCAATTTAAGCTATGTAAGTTATATACATAATTACTTTAATTATTCAATAAAGAACTGCCTTATTCAATCTCTTTGTTAGATATATTTAAATTAATCAAAGGTAAATTTGAACTGTTTTATTGAATAGATAAACCAATTTAAGCTTTCTTAACTACTTTATGTTTAGCATGCTAAAATTAAAGTAATAAAAAATAAAAATTACTTTTTAAGGGATTGTTTTTCTTTTAAACTATAATTTAGCTAATTCTTATCTTGCTTTTTCTTATTATTAAATTTGAGTTGCTTTATCAATATAATTCCATTAATTCTACTTGAGCCATTGTCGAATTTCTTCCAAATTTTATTCTTAAATTCTCTTAAATTCATTCTGCACTTATGGATCTAATAAATCTATACCAAACTATTGAGCATATTAATATAATTTCTATATAAATTTAAACTTTACTTTCTTAGGTTTATTAAAATCTAATTAAGATATCTTCTCTAGTTATTTCTTGGCTATTAGTGCTTTTTGTAGTTTTTCTTTCAAATCTTATGCTTCTTTCATCTAGCCATTCTGTAAGTAAGTCTTCACCATATCCATTCCTCTTGATTCAATAAATCTTCCTAATTCCTAAACTTCCATAGGGATAGGTTTCTTTGGATCTAATTCATAACTAAGTTCTTAGTCATTATCTTGATATGCAAATTAAGCCATGAAATCTTAAGGTAATTCTTGTTCTTCTTAGAAATTATATTTATAAGTGTCTTATTCGGTTTCCAATTCTTTATCACTGTCATCCTCTTATAATTTTGATAATTGAATTTAGACCATATCGTAGACTTTGGCTATACTTTCATTAAGAGGATCCAATTACTGAGCAAATTATAGATCTTTACAAATCATTTAACAATCTAACTATGTTACTTACTCTGATAAAAACCGAGACTTATTGATATAAAAATCTAGTTACCTATGCTCTTAAAATAAAGGCCCCTGCACAGAAAGGATTCAATTATTACCAATAATCACACATTTTTGTGCAAGCCTGTTGTTGATGTAAAATATAATAACATTTACCCATTAATTCGAATAAGTTGTTCCAAAGGTCTTAAAAACAAACTTAATTATAGTTGTATACCTTTAATTTATTATTGTTCAGGATAATGTCTACAATTCAAATCTTCAAATTTAGTATCCTCCCATCGTTTTGGTTGTTTGGCTTCTGCAAATACTGACATACATAACTCGAATTAATCAATTGCATTACGATATTGATCTAGGATATTAAATTTAGTTTGATACTTTGATAAAAGAATTTCAAACCTCTTTCAAATAATAGTTCATAGATTTTCTTTTTTTATAAGAAAGATTGACGTGATAATTGTTTGAAGGCTAGACGAAGCATAATTAGTTTATTAATTAATTAAAAAATCTGAATTTCTGACCAAGTTTGATATAAAGTACATATTATAAATAAGTATTTCAATGTATAATGACAAAGATGATAAGTTCTTTTAAATAGAAACTTAATGTTTTAATTAAATAACAATAGTAAATAATTATAATTATAAATAATTATGTCAACTAAATTTCGTTAATCGGTGCGATTCTTACTTTGGGTGATTCGTAAAAATGTACCTGGAAGAATTGCATTGTTGAAGTCGTAATGTCCCTCACCTAAATGAGATCCAAATAACGGTCGTAACTTGAAGTTTTACAAGTAAGTGCACTGATGCAACGATTTCAATACTGTAGAGACATGATAACAAAAGAAGGATTCGAAAAATACAATAAATTTTGTGAATTCTTATACACAATATATTGTAGAACAGGAGAGAGAGTAATACGGAAAGGATAACAAGGAGTGCGGTTTTACATGATTTTACAAGGATAAGTTTCATTGGTTAGCTACAAACCTAAGAATCGTAAAGCTTAAATGATGATGGATTAAGAGAAAGTAAAGTAGTCATATTAATTAAAAGGAAACTGTCCCTAATTATGAAGATGATACTTTATTTAGTGCTTTCAGTTTTAAAGAATTAAATCCAGGAGATCATTTTGGTGATATGTCATTATTAGATAATGGATAAGTGTCATGCACTATTATTTGTAAGACATTTTGTTAGTTTGTTTGTATGGATAAATAATAATTTGTAAAGTTTATTGGGAAATCGGTACCAGTGTTATAGAAACTTAAAATATTAGAAGAATAAACAATCTTTAATTGTTGGACAGATGGAGAATTAAGAGCCTTAAGTTATGAATTCAAGAACAGAACATATCATTAGGAAGAGTTCTTATATTAAGAAGGTTAAAGGAATGTATAAGTATTTTTGATAATGGATGGATAAATTGAAATGACTTCAACTCGTGATAATTAAACATATCATCTTAGTTCTTTGGATGTAGGTGCACTCTTTGGAGATGATGCTGACTATCATACTTGTAATGCTAAATGTGTATCAGCCAGAGCAGAAATACTTGTAATTGGAAGATAAGTTTTAAGTCGTATGTTGGATTGGCATCCTGAATCAAAATAATTATATAGATAATAATTATGTATTTTAATCTAATTTATATTTATAGAATAAAAAGCTAATTGGAGATTAGAGAGATTAAATAATCTTATTGAAAGTCATCAAGAGAAAACTAAAGTTAAGAGAACTCAATCAATCAAAATGTAATTATTGGATTTATTGATTAAACCAAAGTATTAAAAGATACGTCTCTCTCCTTGTGTAAAGAGAGTCACTAATATTTAAGACACTATGGATTTTGAAGAAAAGAAACTTAAACATAAAGAAATATTGGAAAAACAGAATTTAGTCATTTCTTAAAGAAAAATAGAATTCTTTAAATTAGGTCTTACATTTACAGAAAAAAGAAGGAAGAAATAAAAATAATAATAAGCTGAATTGAAATTAAAGAAATAATGTGAAAGTGTTATTATTTCTGAACCTCCTCTTGAGAAACTTAATCGAGCATCTAGCACTATCATGACAAAAACATCATAAACAACTTTTAAATTATCTCCTGCCAAGAAACTTAGAAAAGTGTTCTCAATAGAAGGAACAACCATTAATATTCATAATAGATAATGAATAATCAATATATTTCATATATTTCCAATATTAAAAGATTTTATTATCAATATAGTAATACATTACTTAATTTATTGTTTAAATATATGAGCAAAAAAATTAAAATTTCTTAACCTCTACCAAAAGTCAATTGGAAAGATACTGATATAGAAGAAGAACTTACTATCAAAATACCTCATGCTGATTTAATTAATAAAATTATTGACCCTAGATCTAGTCCTTAAGAATTCTTTGTTCCAATAGTATATATTATTTGATCCTAAAGAGATTTCCAGCCCAATAACATATGAAAGATGCTGATGGCTTCTTTATACCCTTGCCAAAAGAAGATCCAAAAAAAAAACTATAACAATAACATCAATTTTAAAATGAAAGATATCAAATTCAATTACAGGATTTAATATCTATTGATGATTTGGGTTAAGGTTCAAGTGGAAGAGTGATTAAAGCATTACATAAACCCACTAATTTACTTGTTGCACTTAAAGTATTCATTGTAAATAGTAGACAATACAAATAATAAATGATGAAAAGTTCACTAAACAAATCAATTTAGAACTGGAAACTTTGGTCAGTTGCAATCATTCAAACATTATCAGATGTTATGGAGCATTTCTAGAAGGAGCTTAAGTAGCTATAGCTTTAGAATTCATGAATCTAGGCACTTTACAAGATGTAATTAAAAGATTAGGAAAAATCCCTGAAGGCATGTTAGGATTAATTGCCTATCAACTTCTTAAAGGTTTGGATTATTTACATCGAACAAAGAAAATCATCCATCGAGATATCAAGCCATCCAATTTATTGATAAATAGTTAAGGAGAAGTTAAAATATCAGATTTTGGTGTTAGTGGTTAATTACTAAATACCTATGATCAGCGATGTACTTGGGTTGGTACAGTTACCTATATGTCTCCTGAGAGATTTTTATGTGAACCTTACTCTTCCAATACAGATGTCTGGTCTTTAGGACTCTCGTTACTTGAATGTGCTTGGGGAGTTTTCCCTTATCCTCATCCTGGAACCAACGAAACTACTCATTAGTTAGGTTTTTGGGAAATTAAAGAATATATTGTCTCTAGACCAGCTCCTCCATCACCTCCTGATTTTTCATAAATTGGAGCTGATTTCATAGCCAGATGTCTATAAAAGGATCCAAGATAAAGAAAAAGTGCTGCAGAATTGTTGGTATTAAATAAAATATATTAATTTAAAGGAACATCCTTTTATAAAACAATATGAAGATGTGAGTCTATAATATTTAGAAGGTTGGCTTAACATTAATAATGATTTAAAATTATAATACATCATTTGAGATGTTTCAAATCTGAACTTGATTCTATATTCTTGACCATCATACCTAATTGATTGTTAATTTCAATTAATTGAGGCAATGTGCATTTAAACACAATATCCTTATCTTTAGTGTCTGTCGATTTAGTGTGTAATTATATTTTATATATTTCCTAATACACTTTATTTGCATATTTAGAAGACACAACTATTTCCTATTACCAATCAACATCTACCAAATAATTGAAACCAATTTTTGATTCAAAATTGGCTGCAATTATAGCATTATCAGGATCATTAATAAATTATTTGAACTAATTAAATTTCTTAATATATCCATCTACTATAGTCTGATCAAATCCATAATCATATAAATTTGTAGTGATTTCAATTTCCATTAATTATAACTTAATACATTGAACTGTGAATAGTAAAATTAAATTGAATAATTCATTTGTTAATGGTTCTGTATTTAATTGATCCAATATTTTTGTATTATTTTCTTCTCCAGCCAAATTCATAAATACACATTTAGATAATTTATCAAAATTTTATTAAGTAAATGGATCTTTAGCTAATAAGCTCAATCCTTTTGATACTTCTTCAGGTATATTTTTGGTTTCTTAAATATTCATAATTTCTGATTTTAATTATATATTGAATTAATACTATATTTATTTATTAAAGAAGAGAAAGAGAGTATAATTAATTATAATTATTATATAATTACTTATATTTTATAATTAATGCATAACTATAGTAAATAAATACAATAACATATTTGTTAATTTTAATTGATATAATAAAATACACTACTTTATCATACTTATCGTTAAGATTATTTGTCTAATTCTTCTAATTTCTTTACATCATCATTTAATAAAGCTTCATCCCATGGATCTAATTCACCTTCCTCAGCTTTCCAACCTCCCCATCCCATGTCTTCTATTCCTACACCCAAATCACTGAAAACTATCATTGGAGCACTCTATTCGATATGTATATTTAATAATCTAATTTAAATGTTGAATATACTTTGGTTTAAGATGACGATCATTAGGTAATGGATAATGTAAAGTTTTAGCAGCAGGTAGAGGAGGATGATGAGGACCTAAATAAAATGGTGCTCCTCCAATTAATTGAGGTGGAGTATTTATTGTCTTCTTTTATTTGTTTATATTCATATTAATTTTATAAAAATAGTTAGATTGAATAATTACATGTTAATTTAAATAAATAATGGGCAATTGTTGTAAATAAACTGGTGAAAAGAACTTCTCATCAATTCAAATCAATGATCTATTACAAAGAAAATCTCTACTTCTTGAGTAATTGCAAGTATTTGAATACTTAAAATTCAGCAACTTTAAAATCCAGTTTATAATCAGACTTCTCTTTAAATAAAGATGGTTACTTGGATTAAAGATTCTCATGATCTTTTTGATTATGAAAATACTAATCGAATATCTTAATCTCTAACAATTAATTCTTCTATTAAATTGTATAGAGATAAAACGAGTGGAAAAATACAATCTGTTTAATAAGGAAAAACATTGATTAGAATTGAAAATAGACAAAACTGTTTTTGGATTGAACCTAGAGTAAGTATTTAAATGTAAATGTTAGCAAACAAAAAATGATGATCATAATGTTTGGTTAGTTATAAAATCAATTTAATATAAAGATAATGGTGTAAAATTATAATATAATGATGTCATAAGAGTAGGTAAGGTTGAAATAAAATTAAAGGAACTTCATTTTGATTTAGGTGAAAAAAAATTAGATGAAAGAGAAACAATTTTAAGTTAGAGTATTGATGAACAACGTTGTAGAATTTGTCTATTAGGTTCTGAAAGTATAGATGATCCTAAAATTGAACCATGTAATTGTTCTGGAACTATGGCATTGATTCATTTAAAGTGTTTATAACATTGGATTGTTACTAAATATAATATGGAAAGTAGTAATGCAATTGTATTTCTTTGGGATTTAATGAAATGTGAATTATGTCGAAGTAATTTTAAAAGAAAATTATAATTAAATGGTCAAACAGTTGATTTAGTAGAATTAAGTAAAAGATAATTCTAGAGTTATGTAATATTAGAAATGAAGAAAGCATTGATTAAATCAAAGGAAAGATTAACATATATTCTCAATTTGGAAAAACTTGAATAATTTAAAATTGGAAGAGCAAATGATAATCATATTCGATTATGTGATATTAGTGTTAGTAGATTTCATTGTAAATTAATATTGGTAATTCATGTAATTATATTAATTAGCACAATCAAGAATTTTATATTTAAGATAACAATTCTAAATTTGGTACACTCCTTAAATTAAAGTAATCGATGCCATTGTTGAAAGAGTTTTAGAATGTACAAATTTAGGTTGGGCGTACGTTGTTTGAATTCGAGAACGTAAGCAACAGTTACTCCAAATGATTATTAAATTAATTAATGTCATTTTCTGAATAATAAGGTTAAGAGTTGTAAATTAGAAAAGCAGACTTAGATGATTACGATGAGATTATGTAATTGATGTAAGAAGAAGGAGAAGAAGATTTATAATAACTCTATGCATATCCTAAGATTCTTACATTATTTGAAAGATCCTATTTGTCAGTGACAGTTCTTGATTCATAGAATAATATTATAGGAAGTGCAGTATTTGATGATTGTCCATAAGGAGTAACAGGATAAGTTGATTTTAAACATGAAAATTTATGGGAATAATGGATTCATGATGGATGGGATATAGGGTTTCATGTAAGCTCATTCAACTGTCTTTGGATGACATTCTTTTTTCTTGGTAATCTTTTTATATCTATATATAGCTAAGAAGAGATTCCAATTGACTGAAGATCAACAGTTACAGATCACTAAACAAATCTTTCAAAAAGTCTATGATTATTTGAATGTTGTAAATGGTATCTTCTTTTTGAGAAGAAGTGAAGCTAATGATGCAACATAATAAGAATTAGATATTGCTTTAGAGAATTTATTTGAAATTCTGCCAAAAAGATAAGATTTCAAATTGAAAGTATAGATATATACTCTATTATATTATAGTTTATGTAAGGAGTAAATTAGAATTGTGAGATATATTATTCAGCATCTTCTATGGTAACTGAATTATTAGAAATACGAATGGCACGTGAAGAGGATCATGATGATTTAGCTGCTATCTTTAATCGTTAATCAGATGTACATACTGAAGAATTTGGTGAATTTTTTATTGCTGATTTGATTGCTACTCAAAATCAAACTAGAAGATAAGCAAGAAATTATAGAAGTGATGGAAAAGCAATTGTTGGATAAGTTGGAGATAAGGCAGTTGGATTAATGAGTATTTCAAGTGATATTGAGTAAGAGCTTAGTCTAAAGTAGTTATCGTCTACTTGGATAGTGTTTCGATTTAGAAGTGTTTGACAATCTTTACAAATCTGAATACATGGAAGCCATTAGAAATAGATTGGATTAGTTGGCACTTGAAGAGTAAATCAATAAACAGATTATTACTTATAAGAAACATATCGAATTAACTAAAGAAGCTATGAAATGTCATATAATTGGACAAAGACTGTTTTTACAATAGTATTGTTTTGATAGAGATTAGGAGATTAAATAAAAAATTGATGATTATGGGTAAGAAGACTTAGCTAAAACACTTACATAATAGGTTGTTACTAATATGATTAATGGATGGTTAAAAGATTATTAAGTATTTAAACCCAGTAATTTATTTTTGGAATATCCTGATTCATTTAAAGATTTAGAATGTCTCACTATTAAACCTATACAGGTATTGTTGGAAGCTCTTGAGTTCTTTGGATTACCTAAAGGATATATGAATGGAGAAGGTCATTGGAAAGATTGGGCCAAAAAGAAAGAAGAAGAATAAAAAGCACTTTCTCTCAAAAGACCAAAGAGATAATAAAAGAAAACTAATAAAAAAGCAAAGAAGGAAGATAAGGATGAAGATATATTCAAACCACCTCCTTATTTTGATTTGGGACCCTTTTTATAAGCTTTTACTAAATTTACATCTGTATCAGCTGAAACTAGAACATAATTTAGAAAATAAATTGAATCAAGAGTTAAAGAGTTAATAATGGAATTCTGTACTGAAAATGGAGAAATGGATCCAAGTAGACATATAGATTTGATTGAATTTCCTGATGTTTTAAGAAATAAAGGATTTGACATTGGAGCACCTATGGGAGAAAATTTGGCATTTATATTAGAATGTTTTGGTGAATTAGAAGTAGATAATAGGATAATCTAAAAAATAAAAGAAGAAAAGGATGCTAAAAAAAAGGATGCTAATCTTAAGAAAGTTGGCGATGATGCACCTAAACCTGTTGATGTATTATAAAAAATGACATCTTATAGTGAATTCATTGGAGCAATTTAAAAATTAAAAATTTATGATTAAATGATGTGTAGATTATAATTAGTTCGATCAAATACATTATAAAATGAAGTAGAAGAAATCATATAAGAAGAATAAAATAAAATTAATAATCTTGAACAAGCTAAGAATGTTTAAAGAAATTAAACTTAATTTGATGAACATGTTTCTTAAATTTAATCAATTGATTAATTACCAGAAGTACCTAAAGCAGCTTAAAATGCTGTTGTTATCAATCTATTTTGTATTGATGAAAGATTTGAATCAAGATCACTTGATTTTGTAGAAAGAGCCTTTGAACTCTTTCCTGATAGAGAATATCTTATTCTAACATAACCATATACAGTTTAAGAGACTACTCTGTTATCACATTTTCTTTAGGTATAGAGAAAAAAACATTCTACTTTTGAACATGTTCTTTATATATTCCATAGAAATAGTTTAGATTCTCATTTGATAGAATTAAGAAAATTGAATTAAAATGAATGGAATTAATGTCAATTTTTAGTAGAAAATTTATTAGGAAAAGATAATATTGAAAAAGATGTTAAAAATGTTAATGATAATGAAACATTTATTGTTTATTGCAAAGATGAAATAATTGGATTATATTGTATGAAAAAGTATGTTAATCTATAATATTTAAAATCTCATTTTTGTATTCAAGATCATATACTAATTAAAGAACATCCTAAACATTTACATACAAGATTATTACATGGAATATTGAATCCATTATTTGCTAAATAAACAAGATTTATTTTAAGAGAAATTTGTAGATTGATGGATAAAACATGTATAATGTTAGAAATTCATGATCGTACACTTTTACCTGATATATTCCATGAATTTAATTTTGTAAGAAGTCGTGCATTCCCTCATTTTTTAAAATAGAAATGGGATTGGACTCTTGATAATGATTAAAAAGAACGAATGGGTGCAATTTTAGATGATCGTGATCCATATGATTAAACTCAATCACCTTTTTCTTTAGCAATGCTTACTAAAAAATAATTATCAAATGTTAAAATCTCTAATAATTCTCGTATTGTTGTTGTTGGAGCATCTGATACTGGATTATCTTTTATAGAATCATTACTTACAATAAAGGATATTCATTTTACTAATATTATTTTATTGGCTCCTGGAGGTTTAATAACAATGCATGTTAAACATGAATTTGAAATGTTAAAAGCAATGAGTACTAATTATACATTAGAAGAATTAAGAGCTTTAATGATAGATGCTAGAGTATAAGTAGTAGATGCTAAAATGGTAAAGTTGGATAAAAAGGGAAATAGAATTAAAATCGATAAAAATGCATTTATTCCTTTTGATTATCTAATTATTACTGTTGGTTTAATTGATACTGAATTATAATCAAGAGAAAAAATAAGTTTTGGACTATCCAAATCTCCCTATTATAAAAATTCATAATTTATAAATGGAGTGTATAGTATAGATGATCCATATCTATATTCTCATTTCAAAAGAACTGGATTCAAAGGTAGTAATATTGATTTGTTAACCAGAAAGAAAAAACCACAAAATATAACTATTTATGGTAATACTTTAACTACAATTACATTTATAAATGGATTACTTAATAGAGGTGTCCATCCATCTCGTATTCATTATGTTATGCCACCTAAAACATTTTAAAAATAAACTAAATTTGAGAATAATAAACAAAGACTTGAATAAGAGGATAAAATGATATTTGATCCAGATTAATTTGAAAATGAGGAAGTTAAAAATAAAGTATTTGCTATAATGCTAGAATTAGGCATAAAAATATATCAAGGATTCACACTATATGAATTGAAAGTAGGCAAGGAAGGATTTGGATTAAATAGTGAAGATGTATTATAGGAAGTCATCTTTAGGAAATAAGCAGACAATTATGAGGAATTGAAAATTGAAATTTAGAGAAAGGAGTAAGAACTTTAAGAGTTAAAAGATAATTCTGAAAACAATATGAGTAAAGATATGTATGGAGAATAGGAGGAAGGTGAAAATTAGTTGGAAGTACTAGCTAGAGAAATTGAGTAACTTAAGGCAAGTGAATATGATTACTTATAATTGGATTCAAGATTCTTTATTACAAGTGGTTTGATTGATATTGACAAGGAAATATTCCATATCATTCATGAAAATGGATTAGTATACAATGGTAGATTAATTGTTAAGAGTAATTTTTAAACTACTCAAGAAAATATATTTGCTTGTGGTAAGATTTGTGAATTTTCTCAAAGATATAAACATCATTCAGTTGGTAAGAGTCTAAGATTAGATAAGTATAATGGTAGAGAACTTGGTTAAAAACTTAGTAAATGTATTTTAGAACAATTAAATTTAAGTTATCTAACATCATAAACTTATTCAGTAGATGAATTACCATAATTATATATGCCTATTGGATAAGGTGGGATAGTTCCTTACAAACTTTATTATTATTATATTAAAAAGAATGATTTTTCAAAGCCTAAACAATTACAATAATAACCATCTAAACCAATAGTATCTGATAATTTTAACAATTCAAAAGGTCATTTTCTATAATTTGATGTTGATCCTAATGGACTTATTGAAAGTCTAACTTACTTTGGTTCTGAAGCTGTTCACATTCCAAGTTTGATTCACTTTATAGAATTATCAGTAAGATATTTAAACAAATTGGATTAAAGAGGCAAATTAATTAATAATGTATCTGAATTTCTCTCTGAAAATTGGGCCATAGCTTTATATCATGAATGGTTTAGTGAATTTAGACATATTACTAAGAGTGAGATGTTAAAAAATGAACTTATTGATTAAGTACTTGAGAAATCACAAGAATATGCTAGAGATGGTCGTTATATGGATGATAATTTCTTTGAAGAGATTAAAAAACTCATCACAAGAGACATAGTGGAGAATATACAAGTAAATTAATTATATTCATTTCTTTAGGAAGGTACCATTGAATTTATAAGATAAAATTAGAACCATTTACCTATGTACTTTGTTCCAAAATAGAAACTAAATTGAAATATTAATTAAAATAAAATATTATGAGTAAAATTAAAATTTTTTATTTCCAAATTTAACTTTCGTTTTTATAATATTCATGGTTCTCCAAATTATGCTATTTAATGATAAATTGAGAATGAATAAATAAATTGAAAATCAAACAATATATTTGTAAAAGACTACTTATTGTGTATAGAATAATAATCAATCTTTAAATATTTAAATATGATTTAATGAAAATTAGAGCTTTTTTAATATCTAGAAAACATTAAAAATATTAATTTGATACTTGATGTTGATAAATTTTAATATTATTTTTATAATAATTTTATTATATCTAAAATTCATTATTATTAAATATTTATTTTAATTATAGAATGCATAACAAACAAATAAACAATAATAATATTCATGATTATTATAGTCGTTCTTCTTTTGGAAGATTGGCGTGATAGATCTTTTCCCAACTAATAATAGTATTATCAAGATTGGTTATACTCTAATGCAAAAAACCATCCTAATAGATTGTGATATTAAAATATTTACAAAAAATGCATTTAGAGTAAACCATAAAGGTCTTACAATAACTTTAAAGAATCCCATTTCAGATTTGGCCATGATGTATATTTTATCCAAATCTTTTAAGAAAGGTGTTTATGGAATGCCCAATCTACCTTCTTCTTCATATTGAGCACTAAATTCTTTGTTCACTCTTTCAGACCAAATTCTAGAGATTTCAAATACTTTAGCTCCTCCATTGAAATCTGCAGTATGAATTATCATTCCTGTTAATAATTTAAGATCATCATCTCCAGTTCCAAATGGTTTTGAAACATCTTCCTTAATTCTGCTCTCAAAATCTTTCAAGAGTGTAAAATGAACCTTGATATCAGTATAAAGAATATTATCGATAAGAATGCGTCTGAATTATTAATGTTATTCTTTAGTTAAATTACTCAAGAAATTAAGGGATTAATCTTTAAGCATAAATATTGTAGTGGCTGCATGATGTTATTCAAGAGGCTAAATAATAATAAGATTCTTACACTTGAATCATGATATCTTGTGGCTAATTTAGATTAACTATTAATCATGAACATATTTGTTCTACCTGTATGTGATACATCATGACATAATCCAGATATAATTGTTGCCATCCTTCTGAAATCATCAATAAATTATTTAGCCTTTCCACATTATAACATAAAATGAGCACTTTACATAACAGATATTCCATGATCATAATTATGAAATGAATTATTTTTCTTATTATATTTCTTTTATAGAACACTTAAAAATTATGCTAAACATTAATTATTCATATGATATTAAGTAATGAATCCATTTTTCTCTAAAATACTATATACTAATCTATGCTTTTCTTGTGAGGAATCCAAAATTAAAATATTAAATTCAAACAAATCTAATTAAGAATCTCTTTCATAAATTTTAAATTAATTTACATCAACTTACTCTAATTATTGTTAATATTTAATATAAACACTTGAACTAATCTTCTTTTTTTTTTATGGAGGAATAATCCATTAATCATTTAATATATCTTTAGTTTATGATTCAGAACCTTTTACATCAGGTTTACGATGTCTAATTTATTATAATTCATTTTCAGGAATGAATAAAGCAATCATTGAATTCGCTACATCTTATGTTTCATCTAATTAATTTAGAAACTTAAATGTTTAATGTTTATTGTATTAAATTAATATTTGTTTTTGAATATCCTCTTCAAATGATTTATTGACTTCAGCTTCCTTCTATACATCATTAGTCATATTGTCAATCTTTAAAGTCATAAAATAATGTTTAAGTCTTCTAGCCTCATTTTCATGGAATATTACTGTGAATCCTTTAAAGTCATTATCAATCACTTTAAGAAATATTTCAAATTAAGGAATTTCAAGGTTGCTTAAATATTGATTGTGCCTATTTTCACGAATATTCTAAATATTCACCTCAATATTAGATATAATACTGTTTTCAGCGAATATATCCTGATAAGTTATTTTATTGTATAGTATAGCTTTTGGATCAAAATTGATATTGTATTTTTATCTATTATATGATATATTAGTTTACTTTAAAGATTTAGATATCGGTCTACTTAAGAATATTAATTCTCCTTGCTTATTAAAATCAAACAATAAGGAATCAGTAGTTCTAAGGAAATACTTATAAAATGCAGATTTTTCATAACATAATTTTACATAACCATCATACTTCTCTAATGTTTAAATAACCTAAATGATATTATAAATATTATTTACAAGAGAGTATAAATATTGATCTTGTTCATTTTTCAGATCCATATTATTGATATTTAAGGTTACTGGATTTGAATCTTTTAATTCTATTTTTAATGAAGGCAAATCTTTGTCTTTCTTAAGTATTGGTTAATTCTATTAGACTTTTTCAACATCATATTTTAAACTCAAAACCTTTTTTATTCCTTCAATTAACAAAAATCTTGAAATCCTCATAAATGTAATTCCTATATCTTGTACATGATCAGCAAATCTTAAAGGATTGAAAAATTAAACTTTAGCAGTTATGATAGTCTCAACTAAGAATTATGCTAAATGAGTAACATCTGTATTAAATCCATAGATATTTGCATAACTAATTTAAATTAAAATGATTAATACTTAATAAAATTTCTTTTTATATTCTTTTTATCCTTATCTGTCCAATGCAAACAGAATAGGACTTCATAATTTTTGATTTGCAATTAAAATTTAACAAGGGATGTTTATGCATATGTATTAGTTTTACAAGTCTCCTAAATTCGAGGATATTGATTTTATTTTTAATCTACTCTATGTATATAACATGGTCGAATATATGCCAATTCATCAGTTACTTTTTAAGCATCTTCTGGAGTGATATCTTTTATAGAATCATTGGCTGAAGAATATACTTCCCAATCCTTGTCTCGATGAATGAAAAAAGTAAATTCATCAGCATCGACAAGTATTTTGAGAAGGAATTTCAGCACTTAATATAAATTTTCATAAGAAATGTCTTCTTACATCAAAAGTAAATGTGTATGCAAATTGCCTGTAAATATATTCTTTAATTCCTTATAGATATCATTGATTTATCTTTTTATTTTCTCATACACATCTTCTTCACTAGAATCAGCATCTTTCTCACTTATTTCTGCTAATTTATTATTGTCACCTGTATTTTATGCATGTTATCCATTTGGATCTCCTTATTCAGATGTAAGTTGTAGTATTAAATTGCATAATTACAATAACTTATCTTTGTCTTCAGGTACAAGTAAATTATGTTTGTCAATATGCTTATTCAATAATTCTGTAAGTTGATTAATCATCACTGCACCTACACTTGCTAAAGGCAGAGGGATTTATTAATCTTACTAATTTGCATTCTATTGTTTAGTTTCATCTGTAACATCTTTCATAAAATGTACAGTCTTGGATTTATGTTATCGTCTTCTTTGTATTGCCTTATTTTATTCATCTAAATAATCTAGTAATGCCTATCGTAATTGCATTTCCCTAATTTAATGAGTAGGTTCACGAATACTTTCCAGGACCACTATTTTAAATGAGAACGCGACATATTTTCTCTTCTTTATGAGTCAGACTAGTTTTGAGGAGAGTCTTCTGTTCAGAAGTGATTTGGTTGGTCTTACAAAGATTGGTGACAACGATGAAGAATTATGTGTAGTGACTCAATTATGGATCCATTTTTATAATTTATAGGGTCGTTTCAAGAAATTTGAACTTCCCTTATAATATGATTGTGAACGAGGTTTCACAATTACTGTGTCTGGAGCCTCAGTAACATGTTTTTTGAACTCTTCCAATCCTAAACGTTGTTTCTACTAGATTAGATTGACATGTTTATGTTTCCCCATGGAAATAAGTTTGGACAATTTGTTATTCAATTTCTCCTCTAATTTTGGAGTATTGTCACTAAATTTAAATGCCTTCAATTCAGGTTTAGGACATCTCTCTCCTGAACACAAAACTAAACCAAAACCTATTGGATAGCAACGAACTTAGAGTGGACGATTGCAACAATAGCTATAAGGTACTTATTTTGAATTCATGAAAAAGATAGTATATGTTTTAGTATACAGATGTTAGCATATGAGGATACTGTGTTATCGAAGTTAGATTTCAGGGAACATCCTCATGATTAGATTTTGAATGTAAATAGATTTCTCATCACTTGGAGAGAGGGATTCTGTTTATGATTCTACATGAACTAAATCATATAATGTATTAAAGTCTACTGGCATTTAGTGTCTCTTTTAATGAAGGCTCATAGATATGGTAATAAGGCTTATCATCTAAGTTGGGAAGTAAAGTGTTATTCATTTTAATAAAAATATCATTAGATTTCCATCTTCTATTGAAACAATTTCTCATATACTGCTCCAGGCCCTGATGGATCCTAGAAATGATACAATTTAAGGTTTTCTCTAAATTATTAAGATATATAATAAACTTATTGTAATCTCTAACATCTTTGCAACCTTACATATTTCTTAGGTACTTTAACAAAGATTCCAATTCCTTATCCTCCTTATTATCATAGAATGGGATAATAGGAATCCCGTTTTCTAATTGCCAAGCATAAGAATATGATGCATTGTCAACTAAAACTAATTGACTTAATGGACGATCAAATATTCTTAAATCCTTAGTGTACATACCACCAGTAGTCATTATGCAATTATCACGATATAAACTATGAGAGATTAATGTCTTATTAGGATCCAGATATTCAATAACTTTTTAAGCATAACAAGGATGTGATGCAGTGAATACAATCAATTCAAAGTCATTGACTAATAATTCAAGTAATTTAATTGCCCCAGGTCTAATATTGATTCCTGCTTTAATTGTTTCTTGAGGTGATACTTAAATAGTAAGAATTACATCACTGGGAATGGCTAGACTTTCATTACAATGAACCAAAGTCTCATCAAGATCAAAAACAATACTAATTTTATCTATAAATATGTTTAAATAGATTGATACTTTTATAAATATCCTTTTATTTAAGACGTACTTATTTGTTTTTAAGATCTTTAGGATCAGCTGGCTATAAATATGAAGCAACATATATTCCTTAATATGTTTAAAAAAAATGCTCTCTATACATTCTACTAAAATAATCGTCATGAATAGGTTTCATGAAAGCATTCTTAACTTTAGTTATATAATATTGTGGTTGATCTGATGTTAATTTCTTGGTACTCTCAAAATATTTGTTAACACTTAGACTGCCTTTTCCAGCACTTTTAGGAGTAACCTGTTATGATTGTGTTTTTGGCTTCTAAAACAAAGCACTTTACAACTTTTTCAGAATAAGATCCTTGCTTTAACCTACAGATTGCTAAGGACGATGATGTGGTTTCTTTTCAGTTGATGGTCGATATGATTAAGTTCCAGTTGGAGTTGGGGGTTTAACAGGTAATTGAATATCTAGTTATGGGGAGACTTTGGTCACAAGTTAGCTTAAAATCTTAGAGGATTGAGTTGGAGTGATTATTGGATGCTAAACTTTTCCCTCTTTCTTTTTGAGTAATTAAAAGTATTTTTGCATAGCAGCATTCACTTCTGAGTTGCTGAGCTTTTTGGCTGATGAATCACGATTCATTTGTATTTTCTATGGCATATATGACTTTGAGAGATTAAAATCCATTTAATATCGTTGTGGTTTCATATATATTAAATTTATGGTAACCTGATTGACAGGTTCCCCTATGATTTATGAATTATATTGCTCAATTTTTATACATTTGGATCCATTCTAATTTCATCCATCTATTACATCATATGATCATGTAATTTTCTAATTCTACTAGTTGGAAAATGTAGTGTAGCATTTGGAAGTTTAGTAAACTTAGTTTCTGCAATTACTTATGGAGGTTCCTACATACTTTCAGCCTTTCTCTTTGGTTTTTTTGGTTTAATCAATAATTTGAATTCATCATCTTTAAATTTCCTAACACTCTTTATTTTCTCTATTACAATAGAATTTTCTCTATCATTTCTAGGAGACCCTACTTATAATAATTGCAGCATAAAATTAAACTTCTCCTTGTTTGTGATGTTATCATCATTCAGTTTCTCTTACAATCTTTTCCTCTCAATCTATTCTCCTATTCTTTTAAATAATCCATCTAATGTTGGAGGTGTATTTACAGTTTCATCCTTCTTTGGTTTATAAATCATTTGTATATCATGATTATGAAGTAATTGATGGAATGCTAACTCATTTAAATGATTCTTTGCATTTTAATGACATGCTTAATTAGCCTTTCTAAGCAATTTACATAAATTGGAGAAGGGTACATCATATTAATATGTCTAATATATATATATTTTAAGTATTAATACTCTCAATAATTTAAAGATTCTTTCTAGTGTTATGAACTCTTCTCCTTCACGTATTTTATTATAAAGATCTTGCAATTAGTTCTAACATTCTAGTGGATAACCATGTAAGTAACATTATGATTTCATTTAATTTATATAACTAAATTCATTAATTTTTCCTTCTTAGTTTATCAATCAATTATGAAATGGCTAATTGAATCTTATTCTTTATTTCATCAATCTTAGCATAAAATTCTTTAATTGTTTGTAGATGATCAGTACAATAACTAAAAATATTAATATTATTTTCAATTACCTGATTGTTCGATAGACTTCTTATAAGACAGCATTCACTAAAACTGTTGCTCCATAAGTATAAGTAACAAATACTAAAGATGTTATAATAATCATTGTTTAAACTTCATAATCCACAATATTTTAAGCCAAATTTTAAAATTTCCAAGAAAGAACATACCACAAATAGATATAAATGATCTATAATATGATCAAATCTTTATGAAAATAATTAATAAAAGATGAATGCATAAGAAGCTAAAATAGTTATTACAAAAATAACTATAAAAATAAAATATAATTTTACTTATCATAATGATATTTTCGGCTCCTTTTACAGCCATAGCTTAAACAAATGCAACTGATTCTGATATTTAAAATAATTTAAGAGTGTTAAAACCTACTAAAATTATTAGAACTCTTCAAATTATTAATCCATCATTAAATTAATTTGCATAATTTTTGTAATATATTCAATAAATCAGAAGGGATTGATGAAAACATTAAGAAACTTACCAATTATAAAATATATATAATTAATTAATACATTATACCAACTTATATAAAGGCAGTAAAATCTCTTCTAATTTAAAAGTCTTAATTAATTTAATTTAAAGTCTCTTTGACAGCAACAAATATCATAATAGAATTTAAAATGTAAAATATTAAACATACCTTAAGATTTATGTAATTAAACTTTATCATCAACATATTCATAAGAATCATAAGATTCATCAAAACCACCTCCATCATAATTTGAGAGAATTCCACTAAAAGGAAATACACCAGAATCTTCTGCCGTTTTATATTCACCCCAAGGATTTGTATTACCATCAGTAGATTTTATTTAAGATTTTAAAGCATTCTTGTCACCATATATAGAATAATAACATTAATTATATCCAGATGCAAGTTCAATTTCATTACAAGTATAATTACTACTTTATACCTAAAATACTTTAAATATAGGTCACATTTAAATAAATTAGAATTGAATTTTAATTTTAATTTCTTCTTAAATAGATCCATCTGATTGAATCACATTAAATTTATCCACTATTATAATCAAATTAATTTTTTTATATAGATCATCTATAGTAGATACAGAATTCAAACCATATTTAACTTCAAGTAGATAATTATGTAATGTTAATCCAACTTAAGAAGTTGTTTCATAATCCATAATATTTTTAGAATTCATATATATTAAGATACGAAGAGTAGTTGATAAGATCAATAGAAATATTTTCCAACCTATACTGGTATTAGTACTTTCATCATTTTCTTCTTAATCTTGCTTTTCATAAAGTTTTAAACCAGGTTAAAACATCTACAAAATCATCTAATTCTTTTCTTATTTATTTAATATTTTTCATCATCCTAACTAGTTTATTAATTTATATTTGGAAGTGAAATATTAATTTTTTATTCATCAAGTAAAATGTTTGTAGCCAATTATTTACGATATACATTTAGACATGCCAATTAGACTTGTTCTTTATGAGCAGAGAAGAATTCATTAATAGATCCATACAATTACAATTTTTATCAATCATTGTATATTCACTTCTCGACAATTACCAATATTAAACATATTTATTTTAATGTTGTTGTTTTTTTAATTAGAAATGTTACACATCTATATGTTACAGAAAATCCATCATTAAAATCTTAAGTTTCATCTTCACTCCATTTGGTTAATACAATTTTATGAGGATTCTNGAGTGTTAAAACCTACTAAAATTATTAGAACTCTTCAAATTATTAATCCATCATTAAATTAATTTGCATAATTTTTGTAATATATTCAATAAATCAGAAGGGATTGATGAAAACATTAAGAAACTTACCAATTATAAAATATATATAATTAATTAATACATTATACCAACTTATATAAAGGCAGTAAAATCTCTTCTAATTTAAAAGTCTTAATTAATTTAATTTAAAGTCTCTTTGACAGCAACAAATATCATAATAGAATTTAAAATGTAAAATATTAAACATACCTTAAGATTTATGTAATTAAACTTTATCATCAACATATTCATAAGAATCATAAGATTCATCAAAACCACCTCCATCATAATTTGAGAGAATTCCACTAAAAGGAAATACACCAGAATCTTCTGCCGTTTTATATTCACCCCAAGGATTTGTATTACCATCAGTAGATTTTATTTAAGATTTTAAAGCATTCTTGTCACCATATATAGAATAATAACATTAATTATATCCAGATGCAAGTTCAATTTCATTACAAGTATAATTACTACTTTATACCTAAAATACTTTAAATATAGGTCACATTTAAATAAATTAGAATTGAATTTTAATTTTAATTTCTTCTTAAATAGATCCATCTGATTGAATCACATTAAATTTATCCACTATTATAATCAAATTAATTTTTTTATATAGATCATCTATAGTAGATACAGAATTCAAACCATATTTAACTTCAAGTAGATAATTATGTAATGTTAATCCAACTTAAGAAGTTGTTTCATAATCCATAATATTTTTAGAATTCATATATATTAAGATACGAAGAGTAGTTGATAAGATCAATAGAAATATTTTCCAACCTATACTGGTATTAGTACTTTCATCATTTTCTTCTTAATCTTGCTTTTCATAAAGTTTTAAACCAGGTTAAAACATCTACAAAATCATCTAATTCTTTTCTTATTTATTTAATATTTTTCATCATCCTAACTAGTTTATTAATTTATATTTGGAAGTGAAATATTAATTTTTTATTCATCAAGTAAAATGTTTGTAGCCAATTATTTACGATATACATTTAGACATGCCAATTAGACTTGTTCTTTATGAGCAGAGAAGAATTCATTAATAGATCCATACAATTACAATTTTTATCAATCATTGTATATTCACTTCTCGACAATTACCAATATTAAACATATTTATTTTAATGTTGTTGTTTTTTTAATTAGAAATGTTACACATCTATATGTTACAGAAAATCCATCATTAAAATCTTAAGTTTCATCTTCACTCCATTTGGTTAATACAATTTTATGAGGATTCTCTAATAAAAATACTGCTATAGAATTAACATCCATTTTTTAGTTTGATTTATTAGCTAATAAATACATTCTAGTTTTCTATTATGTGAAGAAATTTTAAAATGTTTTTCTTAGTTGACATCAGTTTATTCTTAACTCTTCTTTAAAACTACTTATTCTTATTCTAATTATTCTTTAATTTTATCTGTTCCTAACTCTTTTCTAAGTATTCAAATGAAAAAGCTAAAGTCTTTTATCTGCATAATATTTATCTAATCCTTCAATTTCATCTATCATATTACTAATCTTTTTTACTTAGTTTCATAAAGTACTTTCGATTTAAGTGATTTAACTTGTTCCTCCAAAGACTTTGTAGACATATGATAATTATATATTAATAACCTTGATCAGAATTTACATTTATTCAAATAAACTTCTTTATATACTCACAATTCAACCAAATCTCTTGTTTTATCCACATATCCATTCTCATCAGGCATAAAATATTATCCATCCATGTAAACAGGTTATTTTTATTAATGCATTTTCTTTCTATATTCTTATACTTCTAATGGATTGATTTCAAAACAAGCCTTTGTATATTCTACACAAAATTAATCTTCAATTGTTTCATTTGATTCTCTTTCCATTAGATATTCAGACAATTTGTCTCTCCAACCTCCTATAAATACATTACATCCAGATTGAACTGTTCTACTTATATATGCATAACCTATGAATTCCTTGTCACAAACTGTACTCAAAGCATCTTCAATCAAAATTTCACTTCTGCTTTATTTAATTTCTTTAAGTGTCTCTCTTATAATAGCCTAACATCCCATACAATAGATATGTTTATCGAAAGTTCTAGGTCTCACAGAGAGAGGGTCGAACTTCTTTTTAGCATTTATTGTGAGTATTAATGTTATATACAATAAAATTATCATTGTATAATTCCTGCAAATTGTCCAACTCTTGTAACCCATCTTGTAAATGTAAAATAAGCAAATCGCACTAAGAAATAATCCAAATATGGAAGTCTTAGATTTTCCTACATTACTTAAGGTACATATTCAGGATGTTTATCAAAAAAATCGTTTTCTACTAATTGAGTTCTCTTCTAATCTTAAACTTTCTGTAAATAAATATTATTAATATAAATTTACTTCATTATTTATTACTCTTAATGCATAAAACATGTTATTTAATTCACTATCTGATTCATCTTTACGATTTCTTATTAGATTTTAAATTTGCGTTAATTATTAATATAGATTAGATTTCTAATCTACTTATTATAGATGTCTCATTGCCCAAGGTAAAGAGAAAGTCACTCCAATAAAACTCCCAACAGTAAAGAAATGATTTATCCAGTATATATACAAAAAACCAAAAGTTAATTTGCTCTTGACACCATTTGCCTTCAAACAATAATATGTTAATGATCCAAAAGTTGTCATCTAAGCACCATATCCCCATCTATTATAAGTTCTCATCAATCTCTAAAATATTAAAATTTATTTGCCTCATAAACATCATATTTCAGATTGAATTCTTCATCAGTATGGGATACTGACTTACATAAGGCATGTAAAAGCGTCTAGAGAGCAGCAGCATTATTATATATTTCAGAAGTGTTCAAATTATTACTCATTAAAATTATCTTAAAATATATATTTATATATATATCAATAATTATAACTTAAATTATTAATAAAAGTTTGAAAAACTTATCTGATTGAAATAAATGTCAAATTCTACAATTCCTCTCAGAATCAACCACTTCATTTACTTATAAGCATTTAAATATAGTTTTAATTGTGATTGAAAAATTCTAAAACTCAAATTATCTATTGATTTAATATATGCCTCCTTAAAAAAAGCATGACAGAATTATTGATTTTGAATTATTCAACCAATGGCTTCTTTACATTCTTTCTCAATTCATCCACCATACTTTGATCTTTTACTTTTTAAATTAAATTTTAATATCCATATATAGTTTTCATCAATAGTTTAAATGGCTATTAACACCTTTTATGTATTCTTCTAATTGGTTATAGTTAAGTATCATTATTTAAAATGATACTAAGATAATAAAAATTGTAATATATTATTACATATTACAAATTCAAAAATAATTGTAAATATCAAATTTCAATATATATATGATTCATAATCACCTTATTAAACTATTATGACATCTTCTTCATTATACATTTACAACTTAACCTTAAATTCATTTTCATTACTATGATATGTAGTCTACTTATTATCATATTTATTTTGATCTTAAGAGTTTATAATTTGAATTTATTAGGTTCCATTATTACTGCTAGGACATTAAGAATATTTTTGATCATCTGAATTTATTTTTAGATTTTATTATTCTGAAGGAGATTAATTCAATTATTCCTCTTCTCTTGACTCTTTACTTTGAAATTATTTAAACACATTAAACGGCTTCTCTTACTTTAAAATATTATTGTTAAGATTTTTGTTCTGAAATTCATTTACCTCAAGAGTTTATAATACCATTTAAAGCAAATATTTGATCAATAACATACTCTTATTTTTGGAATAGTTTTAATCCAATTTCGGGAATGTTTATACCCGCTAAATTATCTCGGGTATTAAATAAAACCTTTGTTAGATATCTACTGATGAAAACAAATTTTTATATTCTTTATCTAATTTTTATTTTTTTTCAATTAATTTTTCTAATGGTTTTTATATATTGCCAAGTTCGATATCTTTATCAATTTAATATTCATTAATTTATTATTGAATTTAATTTATTAATTCTGTATTTTATTCATCTAGTATTAGATTCCCTGTTTGTAAATTTAAATATTTTTCTTGTCCAATTAATATTTTTAATTTTTTATCAAATATTTAATATTCTTCAATTATTTTCTCATTTTGGATCTTTACAAAATCCTTCCTTACCTTCTCAATTTCAAACTTTATATATGGTAATCTAGGTAATTACGACCATTCAACTATTTTAGGTGATATTTTTGAAAATTCTTCCATCTTAAGCAATTCTTCTACTATTTTAAATATTTTTGATAATTAAGAATTATATTAAGATATTTTCTAATTCATTCCTTTAGTTTTTTCTACTAATTCAGATATTTCTTAAGATATTTATTTCAAAACTTTTTGAGCAAGCTCTTCATTTTAAGGGTCTTCTCTTAAAAACTCATTATATTCTTTTTTGTTGATATAAATATCTTTAGGTTTTCTCTTATTATTTTCACTCTTTTTTCTCAGAATTTTTAGTATAGTATTCATTGCTTTTTTTGAAATTTCAGTTTATTCTTACTTTCTACAGTATGAAATAATTCTTGAGAAAACAAAAGAGAACTTTTCTTTTGTGAATACTTCAAGTTAAGTAAGAATAGCTTATATAGTTCTTTTGTTAAGTGNCAGAATTATTGATTTTGAATTATTCAACCAATGGCTTCTTTACATTCTTTCTCAATTCATCCACCATACTTTGATCTTTTACTTTTTAAATTAAATTTTAATATCCATATATAGTTTTCATCAATAGTTTAAATGGCTATTAACACCTTTTATGTATTCTTCTAATTGGTTATAGTTAAGTATCATTATTTAAAATGATACTAAGATAATAAAAATTGTAATATATTATTACATATTACAAATTCAAAAATAATTGTAAATATCAAATTTCAATATATATATGATTCATAATCACCTTATTAAACTATTATGACATCTTCTTCATTATACATTTACAACTTAACCTTAAATTCATTTTCATTACTATGATATGTAGTCTACTTATTATCATATTTATTTTGATCTTAAGAGTTTATAATTTGAATTTATTAGGTTCCATTATTACTGCTAGGACATTAAGAATATTTTTGATCATCTGAATTTATTTTTAGATTTTATTATTCTGAAGGAGATTAATTCAATTATTCCTCTTCTCTTGACTCTTTACTTTGAAATTATTTAAACACATTAAACGGCTTCTCTTACTTTAAAATATTATTGTTAAGATTTTTGTTCTGAAATTCATTTACCTCAAGAGTTTATAATACCATTTAAAGCAAATATTTGATCAATAACATACTCTTATTTTTGGAATAGTTTTAATCCAATTTCGGGAATGTTTATACCCGCTAAATTATCTCGGGTATTAAATAAAACCTTTGTTAGATATCTACTGATGAAAACAAATTTTTATATTCTTTATCTAATTTTTATTTTTTTTCAATTAATTTTTCTAATGGTTTTTATATATTGCCAAGTTCGATATCTTTATCAATTTAATATTCATTAATTTATTATTGAATTTAATTTATTAATTCTGTATTTTATTCATCTAGTATTAGATTCCCTGTTTGTAAATTTAAATATTTTTCTTGTCCAATTAATATTTTTAATTTTTTATCAAATATTTAATATTCTTCAATTATTTTCTCATTTTGGATCTTTACAAAATCCTTCCTTACCTTCTCAATTTCAAACTTTATATATGGTAATCTAGGTAATTACGACCATTCAACTATTTTAGGTGATATTTTTGAAAATTCTTCCATCTTAAGCAATTCTTCTACTATTTTAAATATTTTTGATAATTAAGAATTATATTAAGATATTTTCTAATTCATTCCTTTAGTTTTTTCTACTAATTCAGATATTTCTTAAGATATTTATTTCAAAACTTTTTGAGCAAGCTCTTCATTTTAAGGGTCTTCTCTTAAAAACTCATTATATTCTTTTTTGTTGATATAAATATCTTTAGGTTTTCTCTTATTATTTTCACTCTTTTTTCTCAGAATTTTTAGTATAGTATTCATTGCTTTTTTTGAAATTTCAGTTTATTCTTACTTTCTACAGTATGAAATAATTCTTGAGAAAACAAAAGAGAACTTTTCTTTTGTGAATACTTCAAGTTAAGTAAGAATAGCTTATATAGTTCTTTTGTTAAGTGTAGAAATAAGAAATACCTTCTTAATATCAACTAAATATCTCCTTCTTTAGATACTAGTAAATAATTTTTCATTGTTTATCTCAGCTAAGCTTTCATTTTGTTAAATTGATGTTTATAATGAACTAGTTCTTCCTTTGTCTTTTAAATTTCCATCTTTTTTCATTTATTTAACCATTTGTTATTATATTTTATAATATATTCTAAACTTTCTTTCATATTTATAATATTAAAATTTTCTAGCCTCGAAAAATATGAATTATAATTATTAAATATATAAACTTCATTCGATGTATTACTCCCTTAGCTATATTCAATCATTTATTATTTGCTATTTAAACTATATTCAGAGGAAGAGTATACCTAAAACTACTTTCCTTATAAATTTTTAATATCATAATTGAGATAAAAAATATTTAGTATTTAAAATTGATTTACTATAAAAAATAATGTAAATATATTAACATTAAATGATATTATGCATAAAATAAGATAAGTAGAAGAGTTAACTTTATAAAAAAAAATAAATTAAAATAATAATCACATTTTATATTAAACTACAATATATTTAAATTTATAAGAAATTAGAATTTAGGGCAAATTAATTATAAAGTAATTTTAATGTTTGAATCTATTTCTAAATTTACTTATATTTTTAATTCATTTAAGTACAAACAGTTATATATACTACTATAAATAAGTTTTATTTCTTTAAATTAAATTTAATGATATTGATATATGTTGGTATAAGATTTAAATACAAATATTTATAAATAATGAGTGAAAAAAAACAAAAAAGAAAATAGAATGATAAAGAGGATGGAGAATGGAAGTGCTTAGAGTGTTGCAAATCCTATCTTTCCTATCCAGCATTCTATACTCATTGTAAAACTAAGCATGATTCTAAATGGCCAAAATAATACAGTACACCAAGACCATTGGAAGAAATTAAGCGTGATAAAACCAAACCTAGAGTAAATTTTAATTGAAAAATAATAGACTAATATGGATGAGTAAAAATAACATGAAAAGGAAGATTAAATCTTTGAATTTTTGGGTAAATTAGGATAAAGTAATGAAGAGGAAGATTCTTCAAATAATTGTATTAGACATTATTTAAAATAACCTATTGACCCAATTAAATCATTAAATGATGATCTATTTTAAGGAACAAATTATTTAAATATTCATTAACAAGTGTTGAAGGAATTAGAAGAATTAAATAAAAAAGTAATAGATTAGGAAGCAATATGGGATTTCAAAGATCCTCTTACATTAACAAATGAATTAGAAGAATTCACATTTTCTAATCTTAAGGGTATATTTCATTAACTTGATGGTTAATTAAATGTCATTAATGTAATAGCTATTTTTATGGGTTGGTTAAGTAGACATTTAAAAAAGAATGCTTATTAGGATATATCAATAATTAGTATTATTACAGCATATTTCTTTTAAAATTACCAATCTTTGAAATCTCAAGAGGTTAATACAGAAGGAAAGTTAGATTTGATGTCATTAGATTAAAATGAAGTTTAACATGATGATTAACGTAAAAAACAATAAGAATATTGTAAAATTGATAAATAAAATGATACTGATCTAAAGAAGGAAGTCTTATCTTAAATGAATAGTTATTTGGTATTAAACTCATTATTATAATGATAGAAAAAAGAATACCATAAATTTTAGAATTAAGTATCTTATATAAGAACACCTGACATTGCCTAAGCATTCTTTTGTTTATTAATAGATTGGATTGAAGCATATACTGATCTTGAAGATTATATAGAAAAAGGAAAAGAAGTTCAATAGGAAAAATAATAATTATAAAAGAAAGATGAAAAAGGAGAATGATCTATTAAAAAATCATATAACATAATATATTACTCTATTATGATGTTTGATTTATATAATACTTTTTAATATGAATATAGTAATAATATATGAATTCATAATTTCTTCCTTAACACTTTTTGTAAGTTGGNATAAAGTAATTTTAATGTTTGAATCTATTTCTAAATTTACTTATATTTTTAATTCATTTAAGTACAAACAGTTATATATACTACTATAAATAAGTTTTATTTCTTTAAATTAAATTTAATGATATTGATATATGTTGGTATAAGATTTAAATACAAATATTTATAAATAATGAGTGAAAAAAAACAAAAAAGAAAATAGAATGATAAAGAGGATGGAGAATGGAAGTGCTTAGAGTGTTGCAAATCCTATCTTTCCTATCCAGCATTCTATACTCATTGTAAAACTAAGCATGATTCTAAATGGCCAAAATAATACAGTACACCAAGACCATTGGAAGAAATTAAGCGTGATAAAACCAAACCTAGAGTAAATTTTAATTGAAAAATAATAGACTAATATGGATGAGTAAAAATAACATGAAAAGGAAGATTAAATCTTTGAATTTTTGGGTAAATTAGGATAAAGTAATGAAGAGGAAGATTCTTCAAATAATTGTATTAGACATTATTTAAAATAACCTATTGACCCAATTAAATCATTAAATGATGATCTATTTTAAGGAACAAATTATTTAAATATTCATTAACAAGTGTTGAAGGAATTAGAAGAATTAAATAAAAAAGTAATAGATTAGGAAGCAATATGGGATTTCAAAGATCCTCTTACATTAACAAATGAATTAGAAGAATTCACATTTTCTAATCTTAAGGGTATATTTCATTAACTTGATGGTTAATTAAATGTCATTAATGTAATAGCTATTTTTATGGGTTGGTTAAGTAGACATTTAAAAAAGAATGCTTATTAGGATATATCAATAATTAGTATTATTACAGCATATTTCTTTTAAAATTACCAATCTTTGAAATCTCAAGAGGTTAATACAGAAGGAAAGTTAGATTTGATGTCATTAGATTAAAATGAAGTTTAACATGATGATTAACGTAAAAAACAATAAGAATATTGTAAAATTGATAAATAAAATGATACTGATCTAAAGAAGGAAGTCTTATCTTAAATGAATAGTTATTTGGTATTAAACTCATTATTATAATGATAGAAAAAAGAATACCATAAATTTTAGAATTAAGTATCTTATATAAGAACACCTGACATTGCCTAAGCATTCTTTTGTTTATTAATAGATTGGATTGAAGCATATACTGATCTTGAAGATTATATAGAAAAAGGAAAAGAAGTTCAATAGGAAAAATAATAATTATAAAAGAAAGATGAAAAAGGAGAATGATCTATTAAAAAATCATATAACATAATATATTACTCTATTATGATGTTTGATTTATATAATACTTTTTAATATGAATATAGTAATAATATATGAATTCATAATTTCTTCCTTAACACTTTTTGTAAGTTGGCCTTGATATGCTTTAATTATTCTATAAAATTATCATTTAATGGTTAAAGTTACAGTGGTGTCCTAACACATTTCTTATTATTATATATAAAATATAAATACAGGATTGTCTCTCATGTCTTAATCTACTTCTTCATCAACTTCTTTGAGAAGCATTTCCAATATAGTAAATTTCTGTGAGTATTTTTTATGACTTTTTTAGATATTTATCTTTTCATTAGAAACATCATGAAGAGTTGGTATTTTAGTGACACTTCTTAATCTAGTTACTTTTGGATTTGAGTAAATGCTTTAAAGATTTGGAGAGTAATAGCCAACTCCAGGATTTTGAGGGATAACTGGTAAAACAAGACGTTTGTGATTGATTTTTGGTATCGATTTTATTTTAAGTTAGGGCTAATTTAAACTCCATAGCGAAGGTTGTGATTAATGTCTTTTGTCATTTTTATAATAATTCATTAAATTAAATGTGGATTTCCTTCTAAACAATTATCTATATCTGTAATATAATAATCTCCAATTCTTTCAAACCATTTACGTCCAGCTAAAGTCTCAATTTACAAGACATGACGACGATATCCATCTTCAAGATTACCTTCTAATTGTGGAAATCTATTTGAAATAAATTCAATTTGATGCTACATGAAAGTTTGACTTGGTGGAGCTTCAGGAATATGTTTGGCCTAAATTATTATTGAAAATTTACTGAGAATTTATAAGTGAAATTTGATTTTTCTTATATCATAGAGTAATTCTTTTTTTCAAGATTTTTTGAACGATCTATACAAACTCCAGATATGAGATTAGTACTAATAATATTCAAATGGATATTTTAATCATTGTAAATCCATCCAATATTATCATCATCTGGAAAAAAGTATTTAATAATAGGATTCTCATTCTAATCCTATATATTGAGTATCACTTTAGGTAGATTTTAATACCTCATATATTCAGCCCATTCTTGAATTTTATCTAAGAGTCTTCCTCAATTCATAGGTGTAATAATTACCTTCCACTTAAATACTATATTTAGAGTAATAATCTTTTGGACTTTATTGAGTGAATCCAAATATAAAATGTCCATATATTCTAAATAATATCTAGTTTCTAGCTTTGTTTGTGTTGAACAATTATGAATTTGGAAATTTTACTGAAGCAGAAGCTAATTTAATAGGGCATTCAATATGCTTCATAAAATTTAAGTTATATAAAATAATTTAGGAAAATGTATTTATTTATTAGAATAGACTTCAACAAACATCTTAAATAAGGTTATCCTTCCAAAAACCTTATGTGACTTGATTTCTATTAAATAAAGAACCTGGACCATTTCGTTTACCATTTTTGAAGAAGCCATAAAATTTAAATGTTTTACTTTCTTCAATGGCTTCTCCATTAACCAAACCTTCTTGAAAATAACCTTTGTATCTGATATTACCTTTATTTAATATTCCTAGTCCATGATATTTATCATATTTCCATTCTCCAATATATATTAAATGATTGTCAGAATTGTATAGTGTACCTTTGCCATGTCTCATTTAATCCTTAATTTCACCATAATATATGGATCCATCAATATAGATGATCTTATAAGTAATGGAGATATCTTGATCTTTTTTTGGACTTGTACTATGTTTAATATTTGTGTTTGGTTTCGAAAAATAACTCTTTTGTTAAACTATATTAGATTATTCAGGAAAGTAAGAACTATTGACAGGTTCATTGGATTTAACTAGAAGGATTTAATTTAAATATCTACAGTAAATATTTGAATCTCGTGGATTTTGAGAAGAATATCGATCATTGAATTGTGGTGAAGCGGGAGAACCTTAGGCGAAGAGATACGAATTGGCAGGAGATAAATTTCTCATTGAGGAATAGTTGGGTACAAACATTGAAGGAGGGGATTAAATCATAGGGGTCTGAATAAACAGATTTCTATACATATTAAATTAAATAATAAATGGGGAATACATGTTGTAGTAATCAGCCAATTGATCCAGGTATTTATAGGGATTATAAATTTTATAGAGAAATAAATAGATGAGAGACCTGAAGATCCAGGGAAAAAAACTGATTAAGAGCCAAAAAATGTTGAGGAGCCTAATAATTAAATAATTTGTAAGTTAGATGAATCTAGTATAGAATATCCAACATTGTCAGTGTAGCCTTCTTTATTCATTCAAATGAAAAGAGAGACAATCTATAGTACATATTAAGTAGGGAAGTTATTGGGAGAAGGTTAGAATTCAATAATATTCTCATCTTTAGGTGCTTATGGATAGGTTTCAATTGTTACACATAGAGTGACTGGTATGTAAAGAGCAATGAAAGCAATAAGGAAGGATTGTCTATTTGAAGAAGAATAAGCAAAACTATTTTCAGAAATGACAATTTTGAAAAATCTTAATCATCCTCATATTGTTAATCTTTTTGAGTTATATGAAGATGAGAAGTTTTATTATTTAATAACAGAGTAATATTATAAATATATATATTTTAGATACTTAAGAGGAGGTGAACTCTTTGATCGTATTTAGAAAGCCAAGAGTTTTAGTGAGGCAGATGCTGTTCGATATATGAAACAAGTGATTTCTGCAGTTGCATATTGTCATTCAAATAATATTGTACATAGAGATCTTAAACCAGAAAATATCATTTTTGCATCTGAAGATCAATATTCAACTTTGAAAGTTATTGATTTTGGTACATCAAGAAAATTTGATAAAAATTAAAATATGTCAAAACGATTAGGAACTGTAATATACATTTATATATATTTAATAGCCATATTATATTGCACCTGAAGTCTTATAAAAGAAATATAATGAAAAATGTGATGTGTGGTCTTGTGGTGTTATTCTTTACATTCTCTTAGCTGGATATCCACCTTTCTATGGTAGAAATGAAACTGAAATTTTTGATAAAATTTTAAAAGGTAAAATACCATTTCATACTACTGAATGGAATAAGATATCAAAGGAGGCTAAAAACTTAATTACTAATATGTTATGTTAGGATGTAGAGAAGAGGTATTCAGCTTAATAAGTTTTGGATGATCCTTGGATGTAATAAGGATAGGAATAAAATTTATTTGATGATAATTTTTTAAAGAATCTTACAGAATTTAGTGCAAAAAGTAAACTTAAATAAGCTTTATTAACTTTTATGGCAAGTCAAATGATTTAACCAAAAGAAGTTGAATAAATATAAGAATTTTTCAAATAATTAGATAAAAATAATGATGGAAAATTATCTAAGGAAGAATTAGTAGCAGCATTTTAATAAAAAGTTTAGAGTAAGGATAGATTGATTGAAAATATGGAAACAAAAATAAATAAGATTGTAACTGAAATTGATGTTAATTAATCTGGTTATATTGATTATACAGAATTTATAATGGCGTGTTTAAAATATGAAAAATTATTGACAATTGATAAAATTAAATAAACCTTTAGAATATTCGATCTTGTAATTTATATAATAATAATTTTAGGATGGAGATAAATACATTTCTAAGGAAGAATTATCATAGATTATGGAAGGAGTAGATGATGATATTTGGAAGTAATTTTTAACTGAATGTGATTAAGATAATGATGGTAAAATTTCAGAAGAAGAATTCATTAATCTTTTATAAGATAAATTTTGATATTCAAACAAATTATTATAAATCTCTAATTATTAATTATTTCTGCCATCTTTAATTTAATAATTAAATATCAATATAATTTTACTTATTAATACTAATTTTATATTCATAAATTAAGTTATAGAGGCTAATTCAAAAATTTCTTTAAGTTTTCTACTCCAGAAGATTCAACATAAGTCTCCATCATAAACTCTTCATCATTAATTTATTATTGCCAATATTATAAATTTTCATGGATCTATGATATACATATTGAATTCACTTTCTCACTAAATACAATATATCACAAAAATACTTTTATAATAAATTAGCAAAAGCATTAAACATTGGTAAAACAATTGCTTTTAAAAAACCTTCCTATGACTTTACTACACTTTATTTTCTATCACACATTGGAGAAATAGGAACTTTTAAATAATCTTCCAAATCTCCCTATAAAAAGAATTCTTCAATAATTCTACGACTCCATTATTTATGCATTTTAAGTTATTTAGCTCCATGACCAACATCTTAAATTTAAATAATAAAAAATACCTGCACATTTTATACAAATAGACATCACTAATGTTTTATCATTAACTTAAGATTCAGATAAATCTAAATAATTCTAAAATCTATTCATTAATTAAAAATGTTTTGTTAAATCTGTATCTAAAATTAAATTTAAACAATATTTTCTAAATCCTTTCTATTCTGGTAATCCAAGATTTTAAATTAAATTAAATTATTCTTATTGTAAGATTTAAAACAAAAGAAATGAATGGTAATTTTCCAATACACTTTAATCATTATCTATATTTATTTAAGTATATTAATACATAATAATGCTAATTTACATTTATTGGTTGTCATAAATCCATTATTTAATCCAGGATGTCCTAAATCATGAGCAAGTGATGAAACTATTAAACAAGCTTATTCAAATTCATCTAATTATTCATTTAAACCATTTTTCAAAAAGAAAGCAGTAGAATTAGCAACATCTAATGCATGTAATGAATTATGATATAAATTGTTATGATATTACATAAACAATTTAAGAGCAAAATCACCAATCATATCTTATTTTTATATCTTTAATGTTTAAGCAATTCTAAATCTTTTAAATAAATTAATAGATGTTTCTATAAATACTCTTGTTTAAATATTATCCTATAATTTCCAATATTATAAATAATCTATATTAAAATCAATTTCATCAAAAATATCATCTGAATCAAAATCATCTACAACATCAATAAATTAAAATGAAGGTTATCTTTATGTAAAATGAGACAATAGAAATCTATAATTATTAATCAAAATTATTACTATTTTGCATCTATTGTAAAACCTTCCTATTCATTTATTAATTGATTACTTCTTAAAAATTTAGGAAGCCAAATAGTATCTTTTTTACTTGATAATAAATTCAATAAATCATCTATATCTTCAATTGTTATTTAAACTTCTTCTTAATTTTTCTCTTAAAATGATGCACTTTATGAATTTTCATTATTTCTATATTACATTTAATCTGTTGCACTTGTCATCATTCTATAAGATTTTCTTATAAATATTGGAGGATTATTATTATTTATATCATTATTATCTTAATTATTATTTTATTTATCAACATCCTCTATTAAACTCTCTTCTATTGAACTACGATCATCTTCATGTTAATCAGGTAATTATCTAGCAGAAAATGAATTTTTATGAATTTCAGAATTTAATTTATTAGGTTTACGTGTTATTCCTTTCTGTATATTATTACTTTTAATTAATAATTACTGGTATTTTAATAATCTCAGTTTTCTTAATAAATCATTAGCCCTAGATGAAATTTATTCTTATATTGGAGATTCTACCTTTTCATTTATTTTATTAATTTATTCAATGTAATCACCTTTTAAATATTCTAACTCTCTTCCAAAATCATACAATTTCTTATTTTATTCTTTATTCCAATAATGCATTTTCCATATTGAACCTTCAATTCCTATTATTGCCAGAGTACAATACTTAAGAATGATAAAGATTTGACTTTATAATAATACCTGAATAATTAATGAGAATAATGAAATTGAATAAGAGATGATTCGCACATTTGTCAAAGAAAATCGATTACAAATAAACAACAAGAAACCAACTGTAACAAGGTAATTTTGGCAATGCTCATTGCTTTAGATAATAATATTATATTTATTTACCTTTATTTGTGATATATATAAAGGATGCTACTCAATATTTGTATAAAAATCCCCAAATACATCACTACATTACCATGTATTTAAATTTTTTTCTTTGATTTCTTTAGTATTCCCATTAATGATGATAGAAGTAAGACTCTGATTGTCAGATGAACTTCTTAATGTTATTGAGTCTCCATTAATGGCCAAACAACTAATAAGAATAGAATGGCAAATGCTTCAAAAGGATGTGCTTGATTAATGGCTGATTCTCTTTTGAAAACTTCAGAAAATTTATCTCTAATTTGATCATGAACTTCAGAACTCATAATAATTTAAGTTATTATATTTTTAACATTAATACTATAAACAGAGAACGAAAATATACTCTTATATATATATATATAATAATAAATTTTTCTTAATTACGATTTTTCTCTAAGTTAGACTTCTCCTGTTTCAATACATTCTGTCTAGATACGAAAGACTGTCCTTTAAAATTAATACTATTTTATCTATATGTGGTCTTAATTTAGGATCAGGTTGTAAACAAAGTAAGCATAGTCTACCTAAATATTTCATTAATTTTTAAGGTCCTAATTTTTTCTCGTATTTTTCATTATATCTTACTGTATAACTTGATCTTAAATACTTTTCTTCCAACAATCTTATATTTTGTCTTCTAAAATCCTAAATATTATTTATTTAATCATACAATTGGTTGCCTATCAAACAATAACTCAAATAGTAAAAAACCAAATGAGAATATATCATAGGCAGATGTGAATTCACTTTTATCTGATGGATTTCTTTACATTTCTGGAGCACAATAGGGTAAGGTTTTTCCAACAGATTGGAATTATTGTTTGCCATAATTATGGATTGCCTCACCAAAATCAGTAATTTTAGCTATTAAAGATTTTGATATTAGAATATTAGCTGGTTTGATATCCATATGAATTATATCATATTGATGACAGTATCTTAGACCCATAGCTATACTATGAGCTATGAATATCTTTGAGGAAAGACTTAAACAATCTTCCATTTTTTTATGGAAACTGTCTAAGGATGAATAAAAATATCTTTCCATTAATAGAATATCATCTCTTTCTGGTATATAATAATATTAAGCAATATATGGACACGTTCCTGTGAATTTGAAATATTCTTATCCTTCCTTTTAATTTTTTTTTTTAATTTAGTATTTATCATTTGTAAGAATTTGAAGTATTTAAATTTCTCTTTTAATTTTCAAACTTTCTGGATTTTTATCTGCTTTAATTGCAAAATGCCTTTTTAAATTATTTTATTGATTATTTTTCTCAATTGTAAATGAGATATCCTTTCCATATATAGTACTAAAACCTCCAGAATTAATTTCATGAGCTACATCTAAATGTAAGTCATTTGGAGAATTGACTTTAATTTAATTGATGATCTTATTATCACTTAGTATTTGTTTTTAAATAATAGGGCCGTATTATTGATATTATTCTTTTGTGAATGGTTCATTTAAATTACTTTGATAGATTAATCATTTACGTTTCTATTGTATCATTTATTCTTTTTAAAAGAGTAATTATGTCTGGAGGGAACTTCCTCCAATTCTTATTTTCATTTTCTTAATACCTATTATTTTACATATACTTGTCATAAATGTCGATCTCCATAACGTTGATACGATTTATTAGAATTAATATTCTAAGAAAATGATATCTCAATGAATAAATTGCTGTCTAAACTAAGCTATCTAAATATTGAGTGAATTCTTAGAAATCTTAATCTGTCTTGTAAATTTAGTTCTCCTTTCCATTATAACATTATAATTTTAGACCTATATAACCATCTAGAGGGTGCACAAAAAAACTACCTACTCTTAAATTACTATTTAAACGAAGCATATATCTACATAATTATATTCGGATATTCTATTAAAAATATTTTTTAAATTACCTTTTCGTTAACCAAAATTCTACCATTTTAATCAAAAAGCAGCGCTCTAAAATTGGTTTAAACCTCTTTAAAGTTTAATAGAATTTCAAATTGTAAAATGCATAAAGAACTATGAACTTCTAATGGAAAGGTGATTAGATATATGAATTCTTCTACTTCAATATAATGTACAACACTTTAGTATTTCATTTTTAAATAGTTAACCAAATCCTTAATCTTTGATAATTATTCAGCGTAAGTAAATATAATTTTTTCTTCTTCATTTATCTATTCTTGAATTTCCAATAATTCAAATAGCCTTTTCTACTTTTCAATTTACATTTTAATAGAATTTGATATAATTTATTATTATTCCTTTGAAAATTAACAAGCAGAGATATTTATAGTGGCTTTTTAATTCTATTATAATTATTTTGTTCTTAACCTTTACAGATAGTTCCTTACAACATGCATATTTTAAAATATTTTGTTTATTTTTAAAGTAAAAATAAAATACATTAATAAAAAGATATTTTAAAATGACTACACCAGAATCATTAAACCCAGCTCCTCTTACTGGTCTTGGAGATTATTCTTACAAAAAGGTATTGGAAGACGACTATTCAACTGGAAAGTTGAATCTCAAATTTAAGGGAAATACAAAAGCTTTTGGTACAGCAAATTACAAAGGATGGTTGGATATGAGCAAATAATAATCTTAGTAAGAGACTAAGTTCCAATTCCCATATAAGAAGTATGAATTCATAAAATTATCAAAGCTATTTCTTATAAATTGCCACAAGAGAAGATGGAGCAAAAGTCCATATTGACTTTGGAGAAGTAGCCAAATTAGGAAATAATGGAAATGTTAATCTATTTGCCAATGCCAAATTGGGCAGCTCTCACTTAAGTTAAGCAGTAATTAGATTTGGTGGTGTGACCTAATGGAGATCAATTACTAATCATTTACGTAAATATTAATAAAAATACAATTAGGTTTCGAATACAATCCAACAAATGTTGTGAGTGCTTTAAGTAGAACATTATGGAAAAATAAAGATTGGGTAGTTGTTACAGCTGAAGATTTTCAAGTCACAAATGGATTTGGAGTGAAAAGACTTGATTTCATTGTTGGACATCTTTCATAAAATTATGATATTTTCTTCAGACACTTGACTGAGGCACCAAATAAAAAAAAAGCACTTTCATAATTAACAAATGGAAGACTTATTTTGGATTTTGTTTATAGAAAGAATAAATACACTTTTGGATTAGAAACAGAGTATAACTTAGCAAAATCTTAATTGAATGCTTTGGTTGGAGCTTCCACAAAGATTGAAAAAGTTGATGTCAAAGCAAGAATCAATGTGACATAATAGAGACTTGGTTTGAGTGGAAAAGGTAAATTAAATGATAGGTATAAGATTATTGTTTATATATAGATTCAATTGGGCCCTATCAACTGAATTACCACTTGATGGATCATTACCAAATAAATAAGGTTTCCTCCCACTTCCAATTGGGTTCACATTGGATACATCATTATGATAAATATAAATAAATGTAAAGAAATAAAATTTAAATTTAATTGTGATTAATGTATATTAAATATTTTTAATATATATTTTGTTATATAAAAATTAATTCTAATCAATAATGGTTAGATTTAATATATTTGTTAATTATATTAACCCATTGTTGAGCTGGAACTTGATTATCTCTTTATTTAAAAATGTATTTCTTTTTGTTTCTATCTCCAACAATGAATTTACCTTTTCCTAATAATTTACATGATGTAAATTAATTTAAAGGGATAATTGTCTATAAATTTACATGTTATTAATACTTTTTTGTTATTTAATTAAGGATTAATATAGATAAAATTAGCTATTCCATCTTAACATACAATACTAGCATGTCTAAGAGAGNATTCAACTGGAAAGTTGAATCTCAAATTTAAGGGAAATACAAAAGCTTTTGGTACAGCAAATTACAAAGGATGGTTGGATATGAGCAAATAATAATCTTAGTAAGAGACTAAGTTCCAATTCCCATATAAGAAGTATGAATTCATAAAATTATCAAAGCTATTTCTTATAAATTGCCACAAGAGAAGATGGAGCAAAAGTCCATATTGACTTTGGAGAAGTAGCCAAATTAGGAAATAATGGAAATGTTAATCTATTTGCCAATGCCAAATTGGGCAGCTCTCACTTAAGTTAAGCAGTAATTAGATTTGGTGGTGTGACCTAATGGAGATCAATTACTAATCATTTACGTAAATATTAATAAAAATACAATTAGGTTTCGAATACAATCCAACAAATGTTGTGAGTGCTTTAAGTAGAACATTATGGAAAAATAAAGATTGGGTAGTTGTTACAGCTGAAGATTTTCAAGTCACAAATGGATTTGGAGTGAAAAGACTTGATTTCATTGTTGGACATCTTTCATAAAATTATGATATTTTCTTCAGACACTTGACTGAGGCACCAAATAAAAAAAAAGCACTTTCATAATTAACAAATGGAAGACTTATTTTGGATTTTGTTTATAGAAAGAATAAATACACTTTTGGATTAGAAACAGAGTATAACTTAGCAAAATCTTAATTGAATGCTTTGGTTGGAGCTTCCACAAAGATTGAAAAAGTTGATGTCAAAGCAAGAATCAATGTGACATAATAGAGACTTGGTTTGAGTGGAAAAGGTAAATTAAATGATAGGTATAAGATTATTGTTTATATATAGATTCAATTGGGCCCTATCAACTGAATTACCACTTGATGGATCATTACCAAATAAATAAGGTTTCCTCCCACTTCCAATTGGGTTCACATTGGATACATCATTATGATAAATATAAATAAATGTAAAGAAATAAAATTTAAATTTAATTGTGATTAATGTATATTAAATATTTTTAATATATATTTTGTTATATAAAAATTAATTCTAATCAATAATGGTTAGATTTAATATATTTGTTAATTATATTAACCCATTGTTGAGCTGGAACTTGATTATCTCTTTATTTAAAAATGTATTTCTTTTTGTTTCTATCTCCAACAATGAATTTACCTTTTCCTAATAATTTACATGATGTAAATTAATTTAAAGGGATAATTGTCTATAAATTTACATGTTATTAATACTTTTTTGTTATTTAATTAAGGATTAATATAGATAAAATTAGCTATTCCATCTTAACATACAATACTAGCATGTCTAAGAGAGAATTGAGTCATAAATAGAACTCCATGTTCTTTATCTAATTAACCTTATATAATTATTTAATCTGCTTTGTTTTTAGTAACAGAAATTCCTCTTATATCACATTTATCACGTTAATTGTTTTCAATAAATGTAGTTTGAATTCTACTCATTTTCCTTTTGTGTGTGTTAATAGTATTTATAAAAGGGACATCTTATAACCACATTTATTTAAAGTTAATTCCTCTAAAGAATTGATGTTACTTTATACTATCATAATTATATTAGGAATCTATTTATGATAATTAAAATTACCATCAAATTCTTAAAGAAATCTCTTAATGGGATCCTTATCAAGTAAAATTTTAATTAGATCCAAAGCATCATTTGGTATTCTTTAATCTTATGACCATGAACATTGACTTATATTATTAAACAATTCAAATTCATTATCTGAATAGAATGGTGTTTTATTTGTATATAATTGATAAATAAAACATCCTAATGCCCATAAATCAGCTTATGGACCAATAACATTATAATCAATTAGTTCTGGACATAAATATTCAGATGTGCCAACAAAACTAGAATCTCTACAATATTTTATTTATGGTTTTTCAAAATCATTTAAAGAAGGAGATCTTTATTTTTAATATTAAATTCTGATATCTTCTAATTTATTTCCAATATCAATTTTATTATGATCATAAACAAATAATGTTCCAAAATCTATAAGTTTTAAATGTTTATCTTTGGTTAAAAGTATGTTTTCAGGTTTGACATCTCTATGTACTAATCCATTTTAATGTAAATATTCAAGTATTAATAACATTTCTGCTGTATAGAATTTGATTATTGAATCATTCAAAATATGTCCTATATATAATCAATATCAATTACTGTTCATATATTCTAACAAATTACCATCAGTTAACACTTCAAGAGAATAATATAGTTTATCATTTTCTTCAAATGAATTGAATAATTTAATGATTCCTTTGTGTCTTAAATAACTCAATACTTCTCTCTCAATAAATGCATGATGCATCTTTTTCTCCTATAATATTACTATCAAATTTTTACTTTAAGCAAGAAATTCTTGTCTACAATCTTAAGTGCAGATTCATGTCCAGTGAGTTTGTTCTTAACTAATACAACTTCACTGTATGCACCTTTCCCTAAAGGTTTAATTATGTCAAAATCATCTAATTTGAGATCTATTAAAAAATATGGAATTTTTTAATTACTTTACACATGAACAGGCATATCTGGATTCATAAATATTATTATTTAACTTATTTATTCATAATTTATAAAAATGTAGGAATAATCAGTATTATTAATATAAAAATTCCTCATTTAATGAATACCATTTTTTCTTAATAATTATCAAGATTTTATTCATAAATACTTACTTGATTACAATGTTAATCTACTTCAAATATATTTTCTAAAAAATTAATTGATTTTAATAAACCTTAAAATATGGATAGATTTAATATTTATGAATATATAGGAAACTTCTCAATAATTATATATTAATTTTCTACTTTCATGTTATAATTGATTATAAAATTTAATAAGATTATAATAAACAATTAAATGAATTATTTTAAATAGAAATTCATAAAAACAGATTTTATGTCAATAATGAAAATCTTATCAAATAAATCAAAAAATATTTCACCTCTAGAAAATATTAATTCTATTTTTTTTTGTTTATAATAATAAATAATTGATTATGAGGAGATTTAAATCAGATAAGATTAAAAAAGAAAATATATTTAAAAGTAGAAAACTGAATTGCATTTATAAATGAAGTTAGAATAGATTTAATATATTTCATCATTAAAAATATCATAAATATGTGCTTATTATTTTAGATATGGATTTACAAATTAAACTAAAATATTATTCAGATGAATTAGTATATGGTTTGCATGTAAAGTAAATAAATTATATTTATAACTTATATTCTTATATAATTAAAAAAAGAGGTAGTGATTTAGAGTAAATATAATCTTAAAGATTATTGTTTTTATTTAGTTATTAAAGAAATGATGAATGAATATAAATGATTATACTGGTGTTAGACAATTTAATTAAATAATTAATTAAAATGTCTAACATGAATAAGCCTCCTCTTGTAATTATTCATCCACTTGTTTTGATCTCAGTAGTAGATCACTATAATCGTATAATATCAAAAACACAACAACCTAGAGTAGTTGGTGCATTGTTGGGTATATTATACAATTTGAATCTTAGGTGAAAGAAAGGCTGATGGTGTTATTGATATTACCAATAGTTATGCATTACCTTTTGAAGAGGATCCAAAGGATTAGAATATATGGTATTTAGATCACATTTACAATGAAACACTATTTGAATTACATAGAAAAGTATGAATATTATCAAATAATTAGATTAATATCAATGAAAAGATAGTTGGATGGTATTCTACAGGATCAAGATTTAAACCAAATGATATTCAAATCAATCAAATATTTTACAAGTATACAACTACTCCAATTTTTGTGATAATCGATGTTCATCAATTTGATCCATTATCACTTCCAACTGAAGCTTATACATCAGTTGATGAAATCTCTAAATCAGGAGAAATAGTCTAAAACTTTGTGCATATTCCTTCTACTGTATAAGCATTTGAACCTGAAGAAATTGGAGTTGAATAACTATTAAGAGAAATCAATAATGTAGATACATAATCACTTTCAGCTAAAGCCGAATAAAAGATAAATGGAGTCAAAGGAATGAATAAGAAGATTGCTCAAATTTAATAATACTTAACTCTTATATAATAAGGTAAAGTGAAACCTAATTAACTTATTATAAACAATTTACAAGTAACTACTAATAATAAGTCTAGGAAATTCTGAATTACTTACCAAATTTAGGTTCTTAAGATGTGGTTTAAGCATTCACTACCAAAAATAATGATAATATGTTGACCATATATTTGGCATCATTAATGAGAAGTATTATTGCCTATCACAATTTAATAAATAATTAAGCTTAATAAGAGAAAAAAGTAAAGTGATATTTAGTTCATATATATATTCCCATAAATCAATAGTTCAACCGAATGTTTCAAAATTAGCATATTTTATATATAAATGTTTATCTTCTGTATTTTTATATGTGTCATAAATACTACCTACAGTTATATCAGCTTATAATATATATGAAATACTTACATCTCATCATTAGTAATTAATTATTGCAATATAAAAATATACTTGCTGAAACATCAATTCCAACATTTTATTTTACATATTGCATTAATTCAACCAAAGTTTTATTTTTATTTATAGCAAATCTATAATATATATATATATAATATAAATACAATTAATATTGATTAGATTTACTATTTTATTTTTAAATCTATGCTTTTTTATGTTTTTCCAAAACAACCAAGATTCTCTCTTCACCTGAATTATTTATAACTTTCTAATATTTTCCCTACCTTTATTCTAGAGTAAATTTATTCTTATATTCAAATTCATTATCATTTACTAATCCCAAAACATTAAGTTTCTTTTAAAGCATTCTTATAGAATTATAAATATATAAAAATTATTATTATTCAAAAGTAAAAAAAAATTAGATTTTATTCTATCATTCTCATAGAGCATTATTAAATTTCTATGAAATTTCAGCAAATTTATCTTCATCCTCTAATTCTTTTAATTTACTATATATAATATTATAAAAATACTTTAATAAATAAATTGATGAAGAATATTTCAAATTAGATAATTCTCCTAATTATAATAGATTATTCTTTTCAAATTTTGATCTTGAAATATTTAAATAAGCTCTCAATTATTCTTATTCTTCCTTACTCTTCTTTAGTTTACTTTATACAAATTAATGTTTCTCAACATATTTCATTTAATCTTTTTCCTATAAAATAGATAAATAAAATAAAACTTAGCTTTTTCTATTAAATTACATATTTTCTAAATGTTCCTTAAAACTTTATGATCTTTATTCTTTTAAAGTCTTTTATTCTTCATTCTTTTTTAATTTAAATTTTTCAATTCTTTCTTAAATACTATTTACTTTTTATATCCATTCTGCCATTTTTTCTTATTAACGTTCTTCAGATTCTTTATATCTTTTTTTATGTCTTGAAAATCTTTGTTCTAATTGCCTTCTTTTATGAAATTACAATTTTGATAGATATTTATCATGTTCCTCTTATTATTTTTCTGCTTTTTCCATTCTTTATCCAACCTTATTGAATAATTCAAATTCCTTTTCTTCTTAATGTTATTTTATCTTTTAATTAATCTAATTAAGTTTTTATTCAAAAAGTTATTATTTTTCAATTTTATTTTTTTCCATTTATTCAGCTGTCATTTATCTATAATCAAAAGATTGATCCATTTCTTATTATTTTTTATAGAGTTCTTCTACCATACGATTTTCAAAATCATCCTTAACATTATTTATTTTCTCTTCTAATTTACGATTTCTATTAGCAATTTCAGATACTTATTTAGCTCTTTATTTTTATATCAAAATATCTCTATTATTTATAATCAAAAATTACCTAGCTTCTAATTTCTCTTAGAATGATTTTGATTTTCTCAAACCTTCCTCTAATTGATCACTCATATTATTTCGATAATTCTTTAATTTCTAAGATACTTTATTATTTTCAATAGCTGCCTTCTTTCTTAATTCCTAAAACACTTTCTTTCTACTAGCTAAACTCTTCTCTTCTTTAATATGATACTATTATATTGATAATCTTCTTTCTAATTCCAATCTTATAGCCTCTTTTGTAAAACAATCTTATATTTTTTGTTCTTTATTTCTTTCCTCTTCAATTTATTACAATTTTTAATCATATGTTAACGCTTAATTTCGAAATTATTTTTTCTTTTGTGTTTATTCTGACCATTTACTTTAAGAATTATAATTATAATAATTACTATCCTCTAAGTTCATCCTCCTCTCTTTAACGCTTTTGAAGTTCTACTTTAATTCGTTTCCTTTCTACATACAAATTCTAAAAATCATCTAAAAATTCAATTTATAATTTACTAATAAGTTCAATTAAATAATTCTGATATGCTTTTTGGAGATCACTTTCACTATAGGATTGTTTTTGAGTCTCAAAGTTAAATCGCATCTCGAATTAATTCCTACTCATTAAAGTGCTATGTGAAACTTTCTTCTAAAGTGATAACGATCTTATCCTAAACTTTCCATTGCTTTTTATGTCAATGGAGATTCTGGACGATACTTCAATTCGTAACCTTGGACTAAGGCGATCAATTTACGAATTTCTGGAATGTTGTTAAATTTGGGTTCTGTAAAGAACATTTATAAAGAAATGTTATAAATATAAATATAATTTTTATTTACTAAAAATGTTCTCATGTGATATCGTAGCTATGCCAAACAAGTATTCACGATATTTAGGATCTAGTGTAAGGTAAATTTTATTAGTATCTTTATTATTAGTCAACCTGATTAACCAAGCTCTAGTCGTATCAAGAAACCTAATAGTAAATTTAAACTATTGAGTGTAATAACATTTATATGATTATTAGTTACATACAATTAAAAAGGATGAGATCAAGAACTTTTATCATCATAGTTCCATTTACAATATAAAAGAATATAAAGATTTAATAAAATCACCTGTCTTTTTGTATCACTGATTCTAAACTAAGTTTAGCTTTGAAAGCAATACTACTAAATTAACCGATTTATAGACCAGAGTCTTAATTACAGATTTCTAAAGGAAAGTTGCTGCCTATCTCCTAAATAAAAAATTATCCAATAGTAAAAATATGAGAAAGTATTATGCTGAACTTAAGGCAGCAAGTTAATAGAAAGAATTTGAATCTTAGTAAATTATACTCCATACTTAACCATAAGATAATCATAACAAGGTTGAATGTAAAAGATTATTATAAATAAATAAATAGAATAAGAAATTGGTATTGAAATTATGTTGATGGATAATAATAAGATAATTGGTAAATAAGTTATTCCAAATGAAAGAATTTAAAATAGATTATTAAAATATATGGATAAATATTTGAATGATGATCAAATTGATTATGAAACAAAGTATTAAATATACATATATTTATAAGAATACATTTTATGACTCAATAATACTCTGAAATTGTTAAGAAAATTAAAACTAAAGCATTCAAAATAAAAGTACCTGAAAATTATACTTAATAAATGATTGATGAATATGCTCAAATAAGTGATAAAAAAAAGAGAGAATAATTTGATCAATAATTTGATTAATTAGCTGATCAAATTATACAAACTATTCATTAAAGTTCTGAAACTATATCATCTTAAAAGGTGTCTTAAACAGATCTACAAAATTTAGATGAAGATATATAAATAAATATGAAAACATAAGTATTAACAGAATAATTATAATAATCTGTTGAATATTAGGAAGATTTTGAAGAAGAATTAAATAAAAATCAAAGAAAATTTAAAAAGATTATTAAATATGATACTTCAAATAAAAATTCAATAAAAAAATAATCTATTAGAATATAAAATTAATCAGATCCTGATTTAATTTAATCATTACTTGATTAAAAAGGTTCCAATCCATCAGATATGTCATAAGAATTAATAAGATCTAAAAATAAATATAAAGGATATTTAGATAATAATAAAAATAATTTAAATACTGATTATGATAATTTAGTGAATGAATAAAATTAAAAATTAACTAATTTTGTTGATGAGAGATATAGAATTAGAAACATTTCTCGAAATTAATCAGGTTAAGTTGAATAAAAAGATTTAATAGATCTCGATAATTAATAAATGAAAACTGATTATTTATAATAAAAAGATAATAAAATTATAAGAAGAATTTCATAATTTGATAGTAATAGTGTTAAAAACAATTCAAATAATTATTCTCATTAATAAAATTCATCCTTAAATATTTATTCAAATTAAGAAAACTCAAAAAATAAAAAAAACACTATTTAAGATGAAATAAGCTAAAAAATTGAATAATAATTATAATAGGTTTAATCAGTAATACAAAAAAAGAAATTTGGAGTACTTGATAAATTATTAGATGCTCAATCAGTTTTTGATGTAGATATATGTGTAAATTATTTTTAATTTATAAAGAGTTAGCTGATTTCCCTTTGAATAAATCAACTTCAAATAATGGATAAGAAGATAAATAAATTTTTCAATAATTGTAACTTTTTATATATAAATATTTAATTAGATTTGCTTGGTAAAAAGAAATAACTTAGATAATACCTATTCTTAATTAATTGAATAGAAAATCAATGGAAAATGAAAGTATCTATGAGACTAAATCAGGAAGTAGTGATGATAATAACTGATAATATTTTATTAATTAAATGTCGTTACTTTAAAAGTTTACAAAGTTATTCAAGTCTAAAGATGAAATGTAAGAATCATTGGGTATTTTATTGAAACCTAAGTCTCAAAAGGATTTTGATGTAGCATGTGAATATTTTGGTTCTTTAATGAAGAGATATCCAGCAGTAGTATTCAATCTTTTAAGATCAAAAGAAAATGTTGAAAATTTCTAACCTAAAGCTGAACATCTCTTAAATTTATTATTTGTAATACATGCAAATATATCTGATGATACAATTTGTGCTTAATTAAGGGGATCTCCAATTTATTGGTTAGATAAATTAATGTCTGAAAATAAGGAGAGTTTCATTCTTATTGAAAGGATGATATGTGAAGCTAGTACATCTAGTTTCTTTCCATAATAATCTCCTTTAACTTAACAATCTTAATTTTAAGGAAAGAATGATTAAGTAAAAGAGAAAAGAAAAACAAGAATAGAAATGAATGAATAACTTAAGAATCCTATTTAAAAAACAGAAACTTAATTGATTACATGTTAATTAAAGGCTAAAATCTTTTGTATCATTTATTACTCATTCTTATAAAAATTATCAGTTAATTTATTGGTTTATAAATCTTGTAAGGATTTGAAATATCCATTTGAAGAACCAGAAGATGTAAAATTAAGATATATATGGATATATAAAATTTAAAATGTAATGTTAATGGGTTTAAAATTGTTGGAATGCAAGAATAATAAATATAAAATATATTAAGATTTAGTATATTAGGATTTATTTAGATTTCAGGTATTTGTAAGATAAGAAATTGAATAATTGATAGATCAATATGCTACAATACCAAATTTAGATTGTTTATCATTATATGAGATTTTTTCAGAATTTCAAAGAGCAAGGACAATTCTAGAAAACTATAATCAAGATATTGATCTTAAATTAAGAGTCAGTACAAGATAGATTGAAGAATTTTTGAGTTTCTCAGTTAGAATTAAAGTATTGAATTAATTTGCATTCAAAAAAAGCCTAAAGGTTCCAAATCGATAATAACCAAATATTTCTATTGTTTAATAATCATAGTCTGATCGTAAAGTATTTAATATTATAATAAATCTCTTTTTAGCATCATAAAGCTGTTAGTGATATAAATAAGGAAAATCTTTAACCTCTTAATTAATAAGATTTTTAATTTGAATACACTTATGAAAGAGGAGTAATGGAGAAGAAATTTTATAATCAATCTACTGAAAATAGTATGGATGATATTGAAGAGAATATCTAATTTGATATAGTTTAACATAGACCTTAACATCTTAAGGGATTAAGCACATTTCAATAATATTGATTAGTTAATGATTATCACAAAAATAATTTATATAAAGATTATAATTCTTAATAGGAACAAAGGTCTTCCAATCATATGTAGATTCTAAAAAGTGAAAATTTAACTTAACTTTTACTGAATATAATTAATTCTAACTTTTATAAATTGGTTATGTGATTCTGTCCATTTTAAGATTTATGTAAAGTATTTGTTAAGAACTTTTTTATTAATATATAAACAAATATTAAGAAAAGTTAATTTAATGTTGATGACCAAATTCATAGATTTTGAGTTTTTTTATTAAAACAGATATCTAAAAGCAGAGCCGTTTATAAATATATTTTGTATAAGAAAGCAAGGTTGAATAAGAATTTTAAGATAGTTCAGCATTATTTTATTATTATTAATTAAAAACTCATTATCAAATTAAACTTTGCAGATATGAGGTTAATAAATATATCCCTCTTTATACTTTATACATTTTGATTTTGTAGATAATTTAGAGAAGTATGTAAAAATAAGAATTGTATTAATGATATCCATCTTGATTTTAAAGTGTTTAATTCTAACGACCTTAAGTTATTCCTCAAAGAATCTAACAAAAGAATAATCAAAAATAAACCATATTTATAATTTACTAGAACACAAAAATAGATGTATTTTATAGATGAAAAAGAAAATAATGGATTTTTAACTCTGTTTTCTGATAATGTAAATGCAAAACACATTAAATAATAGAATTGATAATAGAATAATCAATAATATCACTTATAAAATGATAATAATGTATGTAAATACTATAATAATTATTTTATATAGAAATAATAGATTTTATATTGTCTTATTAATTTAATAAGAAGAATTCTAAATTACAATTACCAAAGTATTCAAAATCTGGTTTTTTGGTTTCTGTGATTGTTGTGAAAATAGAAATACTTATAAATTGTAGTTATTCGAATGCACTTTCAATTAGCAAAAACATAAATAAAATATTTGATTACTTGGATAAGGTATTCTTGCCTTGATTTATTATATAATATTAATAATAAATAAAATGGAAGAATAAGGTATGCGTCCTGAAACATCTAAATGCTCACGAATGGAAAAACGTAGATTAGTATCACAAAGTCATCAAAGACAAGAATCAAGTTAAGCTCAAAGAATCAATGGAATTACTTTATAACAATACTTTCAAGGAAGCAACTTTAGAGTACTGGAAATCAATGAAGATGAATGTGATAATCTATAAGTTGCATAGCCACGTGCTCCTCCACTTCAAAATAATAATTTTCGTATTAAAACAGATAAGAAAATAAATAATAATAAACTACTAGAACGATCACCTGCTTAAAACTTAACAATGAGCAAAGACTTTAATCAACGTAAAATTAATAGAGTATGTAAAATTAACGATTTTTTTGCTAGCCTCACATAACATCAAATGAATTCTTTCAAAATGAAGATGAACTCAGAAAAACAAAGATAAAACTCAAATATGGTCGCATGAAAGAAGATGTGATCAATCGCTTTGGTAATCCTGATTAGGATCTAATTAATAAATATGCAGAAAAATTTAATATAAATAGAGAGCCTCCAAAATTGACATTAGCTCCTAGAGAACTATTAACAAAAATAAAATGAACAATAATTCTTTTTTTGTTTTCATTGCCACTGCAAATTTAAATTACTATTTGTTATTTATAATTTATTATTTGTATCCTATTAACATAATATTATTAATTCTACCAAAATATATATATATATAATCATTAAAAGAAGTAATCATATTATTCTATTATTAAATAACTTCAAATATAGATCATTTTCTTTATTCATTTTGTGAATTTCAATTAATTTAATATTAATAATCAAATAATTTAAATTAAAATTAATCAGTTCATATTTACACTATTCATTCCTCTAAATTATTTCTGAATCCCATTTAAGTGAATTTTCATATTTCCTTAAGATATCAGACATATCTTTTGAAAAAGATGAATATTTGCAATATAATCTAATTATAGGTTAGAATTGCCTAAAGTTAAGACTATTTTTCTAAGAGATTAATTTATTAGATTTTAATTATTTTTCTAATTAAAATAAATATTATATTTTGTATGTATAAATTTAATCTAAATATTAAATTGAAATTTTAATTAATAATCCCTAATCTTTGTTTTAGCTTTTGATTCTAAGAATTTTATTAAAATAGCAATGAATGCACATGGAAAATCAAAAAAATAATGAATTAATAAAACAAATAGTAAAATAATATCTGATAATTGTGAATAAATTTCAATTAATAGTTAATTTAATCAATTTACTCTTTCTAAGACTTGTTAATCATCTTCTCTTTAATGTTTTTCACTAATTGGCATTTATGGATAGAATATAAAACTTCCTATTCCAAAACCAAGAGCCATTGCAAGAAAAACCCAACCTTTTTTTATTTTCTTAATATTTACCATTCACTGTCATCAATAAAAACATTGTAATAGATGACTATGTTGCAGCTAGTAATTACCATACAATCTTCAAAAATAGAGATCTTGTTATATAAATGCGTACTTCTATTTATCTGCAAATCCTTTGAGAACTGGAAGTAAACAAAGGAAAACACAGAAAAACATTGTGACAAATAATCCACCAACAAATTCACCATGAGTAGTTGATTTCCAACTTAGTGTAATAAAAATGAATGATATACTCATTAAATACAAATCTAACTTTATAATCCCAATTTATAATCATATACATTCTCATATCCATCATTTGCATTCCAGGATGCATTTCTGATTATTCATTATGTGACATAATATAAAAAATTAATTAAAATATTTAATAATTTATATATTATAAATCAGATTATAAAATCATAAACATTATTGAAATAGATTGTCATTGGAAATGAGTATATGTTAAATATTTTTAAAAATATACATTAATTTCATTGCTGATTATATGATTTATCTCTTAGGCCAACAATATAATTTCTTGGTCTTAATGGATTCAATCCTTTATTTTATCCTGTTGAAGTAGATTAATCTTTCATTTCATAAACTTATGCCTATTAATATAAAATATATAGAAATTACTTCACTATCAACTTTGAAATTACTTAATATAGTTTAAGATGCTTTAGTCTATCTTTTTCTTATATTAGCCATTTATATAGCCTAATAATAATTATAATAAATACTTTTCTTCTTAATTCCCATTCATTCCAACAATAATTTGGATCAAGATTCTTTTCAATAAAATGAACAGGTGTTTATACATCTTTGTCAACCATTAATTTATTAGATAATAAACTTCCACTTTCAAATGTTAATTTTAAATTGAGATTTTTGAAATTCTCTTCTACTCTAAATAATCTAATTAGATGTGGTTTCTATCTACATATATCAATCACTCCTGTTAAATATCTCTATGGTTCTGATAAGAATTCATTAATAGCTATTTCATTGCTAAATACACAATTCTTATCTCTATATCTAAAAACACCCAATGATGGTTTACCAGGAATTAATAAACCATTCTTTTTTACAACAGACCATATACAAAATCCAAAATAATCTAATTAGGTTTACATAAAATCAGGAGTGTTTTAAGGTAATAATCTTTACACACCTGATTCTGGTTGATAGTTAATTAAAGCTAAATTATCAGGTTAAGTGGATTCCATTTATTTACATTATTTTTATATTGCTAAGGGCATAGATAATTTCATCATTTTTCTTAGATCTACTAATAATCTAAAGAGTTCTACTCTTTCAATTGATATTTATTTATCTTCAAATAGACCAATATGACTTTGAGCTAATAATGCAAATTTAGGATAAACTTATTCTTTAGGAGCAGATGATTTATGTTCTAATAATTTCTTTAAGTCTTCCATTTCTTTAATGAATCTAATTCTATTTTATTCAATCATGGCTTCACTTTATTCAATATCTTCTTGTAATGATAAGATATAAGATAAATATTATCTAAGAAATGCTAATTCATCCTTATATTTTTCAATATCTTCATTACTCATTTGAAATTTGTCTTAATTAATGAAGAATGTAGTATATATTTCACATTATTCTATAGTTTCAAGTGCTATTTATTTAATTTAATCAGATAATTCTCTAGCATTATATTTAGTAAGATCTTCTAAAGAACTTAATGATACTCCTCCTTTTCCAATTTTCTTATTGAATAATCTAATACCAATGACTAAATTGGCCAATTCAACTAATTGTGTAACTTTTTCTGAGGGATTTAAAGACACAAAAGGTCCTAAGGCAGCTCTTGGAATAACACTTTCTAAAGCAGCTCCAACTTCTAAAGTGGAATAGTAATAATATTACCTTTGTCCATATTGAATTAAGCTTAAGCATCAAAATTAATAGGATCTTCAATCAATTCTTTATTCTTATATATCAAATAATGAAACATTTTAGTATATAATGTAGTTAAGCCTTCAAAATCTTTGGCATTCTTAATTTCTAAAGTTACAACATCATCAATATATTTTCCAGTTTCATTAGATTGTTTTTTGATTTTCTCTTGTCTTTATAATTCCATTTCAACATAAGCACTATCATATTCTTAATAATTATTATAGATTGTTACATATTTGTAATTGTATAGTTTTTAAATCTGGAGCATTTTAATTACTAAGTTTATTAAGTGTTTCATTTTTCAATTCATTTAATTCACTTTCATTGAGTTTTTCTTCCAGATAAAATTTATTTGTTCCTTTTGATTATAATGAAAATATACTTTTATTGAGAATAGTCTATGCAACATAAGATGCAAGAGTTTCTGTAATAGGATTGTTTCTAGCTCTACATTAATAGAGGGCAAACTTGACTACTTCATCTAATTAATTCATTTTTTGGGTATTAGTTTTTATAATTAATTTAATTGATGAAATAAGCCTTTAATCAACTTTACAGATAACACACGATATCTAATAACAAAAGCTTTACTTTGCCAACTAAATAGTCATTAGAATAATCTTATTAGGATGTAAAGTTTTAATTTGTGATGCAATTCTCTAAAAATACAACTTAAGAATAACTTGAATAGATTGTTAACATATTATTGAATCATGGATTTTAATCTTATAAGACAAGAAATCTATAAAATGATAAAATACTTTTATTTATATGTATTGGGGATCCAAAGATAATATTGGAATAAGCAGAATAAATGCAATTATATAAAGTATATACAAAAAAAATTATATAGTTAGTGATTGATCGTTCAAATACTTAAATGCATGATGTATATAAAAAGATAGCTGAAAAAATAAATGTTAAGAAAATCTTAGATGAAAGATTAGTTATTGCTTTAAATTAGATTGATTAGAGAATAGTGAAGTTTGAAAATTATTAAAAATTTAAATATGACTTAAAAAGTGATTTCTGTTTATAAAATGATGATGCAGAGATCATTAAAATATTTAGTCCTTCAGAAACATTACTAATAATATACAATTACTTACATACTATTAAAATAGGTGATTTAGATATGATTCATTTTCTAAAAACGGAAGAATATTTATTATAAGTAACTCCAATTCATGATGAAATTGTTTAACTTAATTCAGTATCAGATATAGAAAGATATTTTGGAGGCAATTTAGCTGTCTATTTTGAGTTTATGAATTTCTATTAATCTATGCTTAAATATTTAGCTATTGCAGCTATAATCACTTTAGTCATAGATCATTAAAGTAGTCTCTTTAAAATTACTAATGTGGCTAGTTTCTATGCAGTAGTGACTATGGTATGGTCAACATTCTTCATCATTGCTTGGCGTAGAAAAGAAAATGAATTAAGTGTTGAATGGGGAGTTTTTGGTTAATAACATATCAAAAGATTAGATCTGAATCCTGAATATAAAGGAAAACCTAAGATGAATTATATTACAGGATTGGTTAAGAATAGTTATCCTACAAGTAGTAGAATATTCTATTATATGGTATCATTATTTGAAGCCATTCCAATACTTATTATTGCTGGTTTGATTAAGATTGTAGTATTCAATATAAATGGACTTATCAGAAACGAAAGTAGTATCTTTTATATTAGATTGGCTGCTAAACTAAATCAAGAGGGTGGTCTCTTATATTACAAATATACTACAAATATTTTAGATATTTTCACAATCTTATTAATATTTTATATCAACACTTTATATACAAAGGTTTGTATTAATTCAACAAAAAGAGAAAATCATAGAACCAATTTGAGATTTTATAACTCTTTGATTCTTAAACGTTTCTCTTTTGAATTAATTAATAGATTCTTTCATTTATTTTATATTGCATTTATTGAATTTGATATTCCAACTCTAAGGAGTCTCTTAATTAAATTGTTTGTAATGGATCAAATAAGAAGAGTCTTATTGGAATCTCTTTTACCTTTGTTAATGAAGTAGAAATATGAAAAATAAAAGGAATAGTACTGTTTGAATTTATAAAAGAAGGAAGATATTAATGAAAAAATTGTTGATAGAATTGTAAATTTTAATTTATCTATTACTATAGGCAGAACTTGAATTATGGGAATATGATGATTTTGATGATTATATAGAAGTTATATTTCAATATGGATACATAGTATTGTTTGCAGCTATTTTTCCTTTGGCTGCAGCTTTAACATATATTTTCAACTTTATTGAAATATGGAGTGACAAATTCAAATTAGCGTATAAATTTAAATTATATAAAGAAATAAATTATATTAAAGAAACTTACCTAAAAAAGCTTATAGTATAGGTGAATGGAGAATGGTGTTGATGACATTATCAGTGTTATCAATATACACAAATACAGCATTTATTGCTTTAGCTTATTTCAATGTATTTGATACTTGTTAAAAATCTGGATGCGATTGGGAAAATATTCTTCTTCTATTATTTATTATAGAACATTTTTCATTAGGTTTAAAATATATTGTATAATAAACAATAAATTCAAAACCTAAATGGGTTAGAATTGTATTAAGAAGAATGAAAAGGAAGAGAAGAAATTTTCATAATTGATATATATTTATTATATAATTTAATTATTAACGATAAATGGATGATCAACTTAGTACTTTAATATTAAGTCAAAAACATATTTAAGAATTATTCACTTTAAATTAGAGATTAGAAAAGAAATTAGAATTGTAGGATAACAAAATTTCTTAAATTTAATTGTTGGTTGCTTAAAGAAATGAGGATTTGTTGTTAACCATAGAAAAATATACACCTCTTAAAATATTCAGAGAAGAAACAACCTATTTGAGGAATTTCTTAGAACAAAAAACTAAATCCTTTTAAAATCAATTCGATTAATTATAATAGTATTAAATCTTCTAAAATATGAAAGATAATAAACAAGATAGATGCAAATTTTGAAGGAAGAAAATCAACAACATCATTAAACTGCAATAGAGAAAGTCTCTAGAACAACTAATACAGTTTTATTTCAAATGGAATAAATTGAAAAGAAAATTCATTCAGAAACTATAATAATGGTTGAAGAATTAACAAGAAAATCAGCTGAAATGGAATAAAATATTATGAAATTATTCTAATAAAAATAAAAATTATTAGAAAAATTAGCATTAAGTTAAGAAACATCAATTGCAAAAATAAATGTATTTGAAAATACATTAAATTAATAACTTACAACAATATCCAAAATACAATAAACAGCCTAAAAATAAACTCCAAATCATAGTGTTAGAAAATTAACTTTTGATAATGCTGAAGTCCCTATAGAATATTTAAAAAGATAAGAAGATGCTCTAAACTATATGACAGCAAGTATTAGAAATATTGAAAAAAAATTAGCAGAAACTGAATAAAAACCTAAATTAAAAAGAGAATTAAGTTTTGATTAATTTTAAGTTTAATGGTCATAATAAAAACCTAATCATTAATAACATTCTTCATTACCTGCAAGTTCAATTAAACCTATATTAATTAAAGAAGAATAAAATAGTGAATTGGCTTATAATAAATCATCAAGAAGTGAATATGAAAAATCTGCAAGAACTGAATTAGCATAAAATGTTGCAGAACCATTAACTTCAGAATTAAAATCACCTGCTATGTAATAAAATAGAGACATTTCAAAAATGCCTCTATTAATAAAAACATCACCTAATCCAATTACAGCAAGTCCTATACCTAATTTTTATGATGATGTTAGAATGAAGTAAGAATATGAGAATAAAATGTAATAAATAAAAAGTTAAGAAGAATAACAAAGATAATCAAGAATTAAATAATAATAGGAATATGAGAAATAATTATAAAATTTAAAGAAATCTTAATCTTAAATATCAAATGATAGTTCAATGATGAAAAATGATAGTTATTTTTTTAAATAAGATCAATAACTAAATAGAAATGATAGTTAAGAAATAATTAAAGTAAATAAAATTTATATTATAGTCTTAAGGTGGTTTAAGATCATTGATGTAAAAATCAAAAGAAAGAGATACATAATTATAAACATCTCAATCAAAATAAAATTTAAATCTTTCAAATTAATAGAAGAAATATTAATAATAATAATAATCTAAAGATCAATTAGGTCCACTTAAAAATTAAAATGTAGCAACAGGTGGTAGAAAATCTCGAAGTATATAATATACATTTAAATTTATTAGCAAGTCAAATGAAAAATTTAGCTTAACAATAGAAATATCATTAAGATTAAAGTGCTGAAGAAATAGTTTATTAATTAGATGAAGATGGGTATCTTATGGATGAAAATGGAAATTATTTATTAGATGAAAAAGGAAATTATATATAAATATCTGATAAGGATTTAGAAGAATTAAAGAAATAGAACTTAGTTATTGAATAAGAATGATTCTATTATTTAGTTATTATTATATTTCCAATTATATTAAACATACTAATAAAGAGTATTTCATTTAATTATTGAAGATATTAATATTATGAATAAATTTTTAATTACATTAGCAAGAATACCAAAATGTCAACCAAGATTTGGATTTGCAGACGTTTTGAAAGACAAAGATAAAGGAGATGAGAAAGTGTATTTTACTAAAGAAGATTGTATATAATTAACAAAATTTATTAGAAAAGTTAATGTAAAAGTTACTTAAGAAAATGAAAGAAAATAATGAAAAGCCAAAATCATCAGGAAGTAATGACAAAGAAGACAAGGAAGATTTGCAAGTATACATATTAAAATTAATCTAGAAAATATTTTCCAGATATAAGATTAATTACACTGATGCATTGATTGAAGAAGTCTTAAATTGGAAGAGAGGAGATTGATATATAATAAATATAAAAAATATAAAGAATAATCATCTTCATTATTATTATTATATTTAAGATAGATAGATAAGGTATTCAAAAATTATACACTTAATCTTCATCTTTCATCCTACACACTTATATGATAACATATATAAGTAAACTCTATAACGTATACACCATGATTTATTCAAAAGATTTCAAATAATAACTATGTTTATATAGATTTTGATAATCATAATTTAATTTTCTTTTAAATATTATTATTTATGTAAATGAGTGATTAATTATTTTGTGTTGATGAAAGATGCAACCTATCATAGAAATTAATATCTAAATGGATTGATTTCATTCAGCATTAAGAATTAGAACATAAAATGTTAACAATACAATAATTTAAAGCATATTTGATTCAAAAAAAAATTAATAATGGACCTTAATTTTCAGATCAAAGAAAAAATTAATTCTTTTCTTAAGCATAAGAAAGTTTAAATGTATTTTTTGATTAAATTGAAACCAGAATATAATAATTTGTTAAATAGGAACTTTAAGAAATATTTGAGTAAATTATAATTTTTATTTAGTTTATGTTTAAAAGATATAGAAATACAAATTGATGATTGTATATAAAATGATATTATTGATTTGAATAATTTTGAAACATACTTCTAATTTGAAGAGTATTAAAGCAAATGTTTGAATTTTTATAATAATAATATCTAAATTTAAATTCAAGAAATAATTAATTAATTTTGTAGATAAAAGGATACTTAATTTGAAGATATTTTTAAATCCTTAACAAAATCATTTATTCATCAAAAAAATATGTTTATATAAATTGAAGAATCCAAAATAACCACTTTTCAGCCTTAAATTTAATAATAAAAAAAAGAAAATATAGAAGAATACCAATCTTTAAAAGGGTATTAATAAATTGAAAAATTACAATAAAACTATTTTTAGAGTAAAGAATACACTTAAGAATCTAAACCAGAACCTCTCCTTTCTATAGGAGGATAGAAGTAAAACGATTAAATCAACTAAGATTATTTTTAATTCAAAGAATATACTTAAGAATCTTATCTAGAATCTTCCAATTCTTTAAAAGGACATAAATAAATTGAAAAATTACAATAAGATTATTTTTAGAATAGAGACTACACTTAAGAATCTAATACAGAATCTCTCCTTCCTTTAAAAGGATATAAATAAGTTGATTAAAAACAATAAGAGTATTTTTAATATAAGGAATATACTTAAGCAGAACCATATAAATAAGTTTAAAAAAAACAATAAGATTATTCTTAAAATAAGGAATATATTTAAGAATCTAAATCAGATCCAAAAATTACAAAGAATTAAACAATAATTTAGGATCCACAATAATAAAATAATAATTAAAGGCCAAAAAAGAAATTGAATGTCAACTAAAAATAAAATACAGGAAATTAGATTTAATAAACGTAAAATTAAATTTCATAAAATTAAAAAGAAGTAAAAATTCCATAATTCAAATAAATAAATGGAAAGGTAGAATATTTTACTCCTTAATTAATGAATGGAGTTGTATAATTACTAGATAATTTCAAAACAGCAAAATCATAATCTGGATTTATTTTATTTGATGGATTCTTTACAAGAAGTTCAACAATTAAATTAGAGTTACTAATTTTAGAAATTGATAAATAATCAGTATATAATATTTATTAATATAATAGGAAATAGAAATAGGTTTAGTTGATTGGAGTATATTTAAACTTCCAAGAGAAACAGGAAAACCATAAAAAGGAGTTTATAGTTTGAATAACAAAGGATGTAAATTTGTAATTATAAATGAAAGCTGTTTTTAAAGATGTAAAATAAAAAAATAAAGACAAAATATTTAAAAATCAAACTAAACTTAAACTTAACATAATGAATAACTAACAATAATTTATAGGAGAAAAGACTGTAAAATTATTTTATATTAATATAGATTGGATTTGATATTTCTTAATTGAAAGGAAATCTATCATTATTTGCATTTTTACAAAATGGTTAAATTTAAATAGTCTCATGATTTTAAATAATATATTTTATATTAAATATTAAAATAATTTTGATATCAATAATATTATAATAAAATGATCAATTAGATTAATCTAAAAGATATTAATAATGATTAAAACTTTAAATTATGAATGCACTATAAAATAAATTATATTCATTTTTCATAGTTTATAAATATAAACAATTTATTTATAATCATTTATTTATTTTATTAAAACTCTTGGTCTTTTGATTGAAGTTAATAAATTATCAATTTCATCTTCTGTTTATTAATATCTTTTAATGCCAGACACAAATATTTAGATATTTTAGTTTTATTCATTGAAATATTTCATAGTCTCATATAAAGGTATTATAGATTGAGGCCAAAAAATAATGTCAGCTCCAATTATAATATCAATATCTTTAAATATTTTACTATTTTCATATCCCCATTAGAATAATGATCCTTAAACATTCTTTAATTTGAGATGTTCAATATTTTTATTAATGAGATCTTAAACAATTTGGTTACCATCTGTAATGATTACATTTTTTGCATATTTTGCTGCAACAAAGCCACATAATCCTGCACCAGCTCCTAATTCAAGGACATTCTTTTCTTTAAATAATTGATTGTTATCTATAATAAATTTGGTTAATTCAATTGAAGCAGGCCAAATGATTTAACCAGTAAGATCGAAATCAGTTGATCCACTATTAAGTGAATAAAGTTAGATTTGAACATCTTTATATTAAAAATCAGTTAAGGTATAATCATTTGGAATAAATATTTCACCAAGATTGATATCCATTAATTATGTATTAATAATAATAATAATAAGTGACTATTGAATTAGGTAATAAACGTAACTAGACAAGACTACTTGAGTCAATAAATGATCTTACAATGTAATAGCATTAATAGCTTTTAATAAATATATTATAATGTCCAATTTAAGAGAGAAAAGCAGAGATTATATAGTTAATGAGAATCATTATGTCGAAAGTGGATTTCTTCCATTAATTTTAAGTTGAGAATATAGATTATGAAGCCTATGATTATTGTTTAAAGCATTTGACATTTGAAACCTTTTCTAAAGTAAAAATTTCGTAATCTTTTATAGAATACAGTTATATTCGAGAAGGGAGAATAACCACATAATATGTATGTAGTAATAAGAGGATAAGTTTCCCTTTACTCTAATGATCATTTAGTAGATTAAACAACAACAAGAAAGCATTCTGTAAGTGTAGACTATGGTAGAGAATCTCCTTATGTAAATAGAATCAAGTTTTCTGATTTTAAAGTGAAAAGGTATATATATATAATATTATGTCTATTTTTAGTTTAGTTCGTTTAACTGAGTTCAAAGATTGGAAGACTTTTGGTGAATAAGCTATTTTAGATTAGAGACTACGAACTAATATTGCAGTTTGTGATATTGATTCTGCATTGGCAATATTGAGTAGAGAAAATTATACTACAGCTGTTTAAATTTTAGAGAAAAAGAAAGAATAACATAGGATGAATAATTTTAAATTGAATCCAAGTTTTTAAGGTTTAAATAAGAAATTAATTAATTTAATGCTATTTACTTATTAATCATCTGATTATAAATTTAGAGATATTATTTATAAGTAAGGTTAAGTTGATTCTGATATTATATACATTATAAAATAAGGTGAATTTTTAATGTATTAGGAATAAAGAATGAATGAGTAATAGTAAAATAAAGTAAGAAAATAAATAGCAATAATGACAACTGGTGAAATGTTTGGAGATTATGAAGCATTTGAAAGAATACCTCGTTAATTTAATGTATAATGCAATTCACACACAGCAAGTTTAATAATAATTCCTTTATAATCATTATAATAAAAATTATCTTAATTTAATGAATAACATTATGTATAATAATTAAGATCTTTATGTTTAAGAAAACATAAATGGTATCATGATTTTAAAAGTAATATTGAATAAACTTAAGAAAAATATTAACATTTTTTAACTATTTAAGATTAGAAATAAAATAATAATAATTTAAGTAATTCTTCAAAAAAAATAGATTCACCTACTAAAACAAATAATGATATTAAATAAATGGCTGATACACTTATATGTATTAGTCCAATTACAGAATTAAAAAATACATTAAATTATCTTACATCATTAGATGATACTACTCAATAATTTAATGAATAATAATAAGTAGATTTAAATACAAGCATAAATATTTCAAAAATAAAAAATAAAAATACTATTTATGTTGCATCTCCTGATAAATTAAAACCATTACCAAAAATAAAATTAGTTTCTAATAGATAACAAGAAAGAAATTAATTATCTACACCAGAAAGATTCAATCAAGTAATAAGACATAAAATGACAATTTTAAAAAGAATGCATAATCTATCACCAGAAGATTCTGTAAATATTAATACTATGTAATAAAAAACAATATATGTTTAATTACCAAAGTAAGTTAAATTAGAATAAAATATTGAGAAATAATGGCCAATTAAAGCTACTCTTTATTTAAATGATTTAGATGATAGAATAAGATATCATAGTAATAATTCAAAGATGTAAAATTGTAATAGTAGTCGTGACTCTAGTGTTGTTTATGAATAATTAAGTTTGAAAATGGATGGTAGTGAATAAAATTCACAAAGAACAAGTAGGATGGGAATATTAAATAATATATTATAACATTCGGTAACAAAAAGAGGTAAAAATAAAAAGAAAAGAGCTTTGACTTTAAAATATAGGGAGTATTTAGAATCACAATTTTAACAAAAAACTTAAAATTCATTGCTATATTCTTGATGATTATATCATGATTCAGTTTTATAAATTGATGAAATGAAATATGCTTTTTTTTCTTTCTATTCTTAATATTAATTGGTTTATAATTAATATTATCAAAATTATAATATTGATTCTGTTTTTTTTTCATTTAATCTATTTTTAAATTAAATTAATTGAATATATTATTTAAAGAAATCAATATTAATATATTTAATT